CGGCATCGGTTCTGTTGCGAGAGCGGAGTGATTTCAAAACATAATTCTACACTAAATTTTAATACAAATTTAAACTCTTGGACTGCGGATAAAATGACTCTTGTCTTCTATGACGTGTCCACCCGAAGCATGTGTACACAGGAAAGGACTAAGAATGCAAAGAGGAACCGGCTTCTTGGTAACAATAGTACTTTAATGTAATACTTTAATGTAAATAAATTAATAATCGTTGTTCGTTATCGATTTAAAGTCTAAATCACAGCATATGCTTATGAAAATATTCTAATATTCTAGTTTAACTTGACCGACCCCATCGTATCCAACAGAGTGTGACGGAACAGACGGACGACAAGTATTAGATAGAAACACGGAAACTGCCCAACTAAACAAAGTATATTAGTCGACCCTCCCATAAATCGGGAAACTAGTGGATTTATAGTTAGCACGTGTCAATCAGGAGGTGAAATCTTGAGTGTGTGGCCTGGCGGGAAACAAAGCAGCGTTGCCAACCACTGATACTATCACGGCCTCCTGTATCGCATAACCACTACATCCTAGCATATATAAAACTAAAATTAGGATCTTTTATGCGAGGGTTTGGGATATTAAATTTAGTAGGGTTTGGCGCCTGTGACATCCCCCTAGAAATTATCACAAACGTTAATTTTCTATGCCGATTAATGGGATGGGATTCTATGGAACATTTCGGGAGCTGACTAATCCATCTACGGCAGTGAATAGAATATAAAAGATAGGGCAAAGGCTCCATCTTAGCTTGGGCAAATGATCTAACAACTCTGGGAGTTTCTCGGTAACAATTATTGTACGTTATTGGTCTGGAGTCTAACAGTTCGATCATGACTGTGACTGGAAATTTCATTGGGGCCAAAAGAATATAATACCAGTGCATTTACATATCTGTATGGATATGGAGATAGTTTAAAAACTGGAACGGTCTCAGAGTATTCAGCCCGGCCCACTGCAGTTTTACTGAGGTGGGATCTTCTGCGTCAAGAACATCGCAATAGTCAATCTACCTCTAAAGTCCACGAAAGGGGGTTTCTTTTTAAACGTACCAAACCTTAGGTACATTATCAATAATTTATTTTGATCCATCTAAAATGTTTTCGGGAAAGCATGCAGAAATTTCTTGAACTGACGTTCATAATAAAGCTAAGTGAAAACTAGTGCTTAAAATTGATAAACTTATGGTTTAAGTTTATGGTACAACTACATCAAGGATTGGTACTTACAAATAAATAGCTACTCATAAAACCAGTACATAAATCTTTCCATCCTAAATAAATTATATTTTGAAGATTCAACTTTAAATTTTAGTTTCGTCAAACTATAAAATAAAGTTCCTATTCACATGCATTCAGTTTTGGACCTTTGTGCCATTCACAGACCACACGAACATTTAACTCATTCATACTCCCTTACCCTTTTCTCCTTTCAAGCTATTTGTAGCGAAGCGTCCAAGTGAGAAATCACTGCTACCGGAAGTTTGGACTGCCACAATCCATTTGTTGACAGATCGCGTTTCAATTCCTCAGTTCCTCATGCGGGTGTGAATGTCACATTGTTGGTCCACTGTGTGGTCAGTTCCACAGTTCCCACTCTGGACCACCCTGGAGCTGTCCGGCACGGGGTATCAGATGATCCTGATGTCACAATTGGGGCGGGTGAGATTTACTGGACATCTGGCCTAGATGACCATCTCTTCGGGGAACTTATCTTCGCAGCAAATTGAGACATGGATCGTTATCAAGCTTGGACTCTGGTTTGGAGGAGTTTACTTTATATCTGGTAGACTACCTAACCGGTGTAAATTGTATACACGTTTTACAGTAATATGCCTACAGTCTGCCATGTTAAATATCCATCTGGGACGGGTGGCGTCGTCCTGTAATCCAGCTACTAGGAGGTCATGAATTGTGGATATTTATAGGGATTATAGGGATGCACTGTGGATGCGATGCTCCCTGGTGTGGATTAACGTCCGCAATAGTGAGTACTACGACTATCCGCAGTACTGTCCTAATAATTAGACCAATTCGTTAATTACGAGGGGAAAATGTGGTTCGGATTCCACAATAAACTGTAGATCCCTTAGTTGCCATTAGCTGTATGGGTTATTAATTAACAACTGTGTCTAAGGAACATGTCGGCCTTAGTCACTAACAAGACTACAAGATCGTGCCACTCATCCTACACTCATCCTTCACTCATATTTGGGTTAAAATACGCACATAGTGGCGTCCCCATCTTAAATAATTGAATTTATTGAATTGATTAGGTACATACCCTGTGAAATCTGGCCTGGATTACCATCTTCGGGCCGGGAACTTAGTGTCTTTGTGAAAAAGTGAGACATGGGTCTTTCTTTATCTTCTGAACTTGAACTTGTGTTTACCAAAATTTGCTTTACATCTGATATGTTAAATGTGTTTTACTTGACTCACGGTAACATATATTCCTGTAATTAACACAATGTTAATAGCATTAGGTTAAAATATTGTAATACACCAACGAGAATTGTTTTTTGTTTTGGAAATAATAAGAAGACAAAAATATGGAATTCACTATCCTGGCCATTAGCCTATAAAAGATAACATAGGGATTTCCTTTCCTACTTGGGCAACCATAATTTGTTTCAATATTTAAAATGTTTAGGTTACCTGTTGCGACAACTGTTCCTCATTGCGTTGTAAAGTAACGACATATGTTTCGTGCTGCTAAAAACGTTAGAATCAGTTTTCTCATCCATGAATGAGGTCGTCAGCATTTACACATAACTCTTCTGGTACACATAACACAAAACACATAAATGTGGTTTTCGATATGTAATCAGAAGATGTCAAGGCGATATTTTAATTCGTAACAAGTTTTATTAATTTAAAAAGTTTGAAATTAGGCTATATTTTTTATTGCTGTATTAATTCCCAGCTCCTGGTCTAGGTCTAAACAAAGATTGTTAAATAATGTTGACCACTTAATTACAAATTCATCATATTCTGATAGAAAGTCTATAAAACAGTTGTCATTTTACCATGCCAAATTAACTACTGCAGTTTGTTAGAAAATTATCATATTGAGTAACTTAGTTTGACATAAGGGTTTTAGTTTATCCTGTGTTGGTGTTGTGTAAAGTACATCTGGATGCTGTGACTTATATATAAAATACACATAGAATAACGTGCATGATCCTAGTAAACTTTAAAAGAATAAAAGGGTATTCAATTTTTTAAGAAATTGCTAGTGAGTTTTAAGAAGAATTAAAGTAAACGTTTACGATGGTTAGTAAATGAATACCAAATCAAAGGCTGAGAATATCTTGCCACAATGCCTTTTAAAAGCAGTCGCAGTCCTGGTACCCAATAACCTTAGAGTTTTATTTCCTTGAAGAATTAAACCCTATACTGTATAACAAATATCACGGTATTGTTTCATCGACTTATCGACTTCTATACATCTTGTTACAATGCCTTTTAAAAGCAGTCGCAGTCCTGGTACCCAATAACCTTAGAGTTTTATTTCCTTGAAGAATTAAACCCTATACTGTATAACAAATATTACGGTATTGTTTCATCGACTTATCGACTTCTATACACATTACACTACACAGGTACCTACAGCAATACACCCCTCAAAAGTAGCTATGCCTTGGAAATTACGTCTTGTACTTAAAATAAATATAAAAGACAGCAATTTTGAAGTATAAACGTATACTTATTGCTATAACCTTTTAAACTCGACTCGGTACTTTGTCTAATTAACATATCCTCATCAATTTTGAAGGTCACCCTCATTAATAATATTAAACTATAGAATGGACAATAAACCAATGTAGACCTACACTTTTATAATGAAGAACTGGCATTTATTCGTGACTTTATCAGTCTTATAAATTATGGTAAAAAGTATTTGTGATACCAACTGTCTTTAGTTTCGCTTCTAGTAGGCACTTGATCCTCGAAGTTTGGTAAATCCTTTATATCATCAGTCTTCTCTTCTATTCTGCGTGTTTTTAGCCAACCCCACAGCTTACTAAGGTTTGTATAAATCCATACGTAAACAAACAACGACATTCTTACTAACCAACTTAAAGTGTCTGTGAACAGAATTAAAAGCACGACTATACCTTGGAACACACCAAATATGATAATAAAAAATGTTATGTAAATTATATCAAATATTTCCTGGATGATATTCATGTATTGTGTTGTATTGTGAAATGCTGTATTCTGTTATAACATCCTTAAGGAACTGGGAATTTGTAGGTTAACCAATCAAACGTATGTTTACGAAAACAATAAAATTTGCTCACAGCTGAAAATTGTTTACAGTTACTTGGAAAAAAAATCGTGCCTGTTTGAAAATTATTGTTAAACAATTTATTACTATTATACAATTTTATATATAGATTTAAAATGCACAATCTATAAAGTTGTAAAAACTTCCCTATTATAAACTATAGGTATAAAATAAAATATAAAATATAGTCGCCCAAATATGATAACGTAGCAAACTCAAGTTTTAGCATTTCTTAAGCCCCACAAAAGTGTGCAGCCTATAGGATACATAAACATGGCTTGGGTTTGTATTAGTAACTAATTGTGTGAGTCATATAATATAATAACTAAGCAGCTATCAGATGTGGCAGTTACTAAATACGTAGATCTTTAACAACGTACTAAGATTCTAATTAATAACTGTGTACAATGGGGTTTCGTAATGGAAAGCTAACTCTTAACAACTGCTGAACACAGCTAATACGTATGGTAAATACCAAGAAACTAACCTCTAGAACTATAATTCTGGCAAAATTATTAATTGTTGGAGAGTAAAACGCCTGTCATACACAATAGTTTTGACCTAGTGGAACAAATTGAGACTTCCACGTCCTTATCCTTGCCCTCTTTGACTCAACAAAGTGATGTCACTTAAGTATCATTATAGTTCACAAGGCCCGAATACAGTGATAGTCACTTCAGAGTCTGCAATAGTCTGCAGACAGCGTACAAGATTGTGTCGTGTAAGTATTTTACTTCTTATTTGGTCTTTGAAAACTATAATTACGTATTTTGATTTTTAAGTAACAATAAGCGCTAGAAAAACTACAACCATTTATATTAGAAATAGTTATTATGGACGTCAGCTACTATTGTTCAATTAAGTTTGTCCTAATTAGTTACAAAAACAATATATTGTTAACTTTAATGAACGAAGAAACTATTTATTCGTAGCTCAGGTTATATTAAAATTGAAAACTACAAACATTTTCGTGTAAAATACCTCTCTTCGGCTTGTTTTAACAACAAACAAGGAGTTCCAAGAAAGCGAGCTATTTTTCTCAAATGAATTATGAATTGACGAGTCTATAAAAATGTAGGAATTAAATTAAAGTTTAATAAGTAAAATTATTATAAATAGATTTGAAAATTCCAAAAAGAGACGGATTTGTGTAATACAAATTTAAGTCGTGATTATGACAGATCAGAAATACATAAAATGAAAGTGTATCCATACACATCAACTTGTACTCACACATCAAGATGACTTGTATACACATCAAGATGTACTCTGATGTGAAAATTGCTTTGTAGTTGGTAAAAGATCTTTTTTTTACAATTAAAAATTACTGGGTGGTTAGCTTACACATACAATTGCTGATTGTATTTTAATTGTAGTGTAAAAATAAACTGCAGTGTAAGGTGTTGTAAGAAAAATTATTTTTTATATAGAAAATTTATTTGTTTGTGAACCTGGAACTTATTTCAGCTATATAGTTTTAGTATCACGAGAACGAGGGGGCCGTCAACTAATTTCGTATTTGATAAGTAAAAAATACTCTTTTACTTTAGGTACCTCAGAGTAGGCGCTTTGTAGCCGAAAAGATTTAAGTTCAAGAAAAAGATCATAAAAAATAAATATAAATGATTTTTTGTTTGGGACAACGTAATTTACAATATTTGAAGTAGGCTTATGTCGATTGTATTAGTGATTTACCTACCCCAATCAGTTAACGATCAATTATCAATAAAAGTAGTCTATTAAAATCCTTCGAAAAGTCACAAGTCAGCAATACAAAATTCAATTTCACAAACTATTTATTTTTCCTACCACTGCATGTAAATTATCACTGCCACACCTGTAAACAGTGCGCATAATAGCTCATTTTCGCTTCATTCCCGCTTATTAAGCTAATTTCACTGTTGGCAATTATATAACACTAACATCCTGTAAGCAAATAACATATTAACCTAAAAAATCAAATACATATAGCCTAAATGACATTTGAAATATAACTAAAAAAGTGAAACTGTGTGAACTTTAATTATAGGAGTAGATAACATCTTAATTCTTGTGTGTAGTACGAGCAAAAATAGTCATTGCCGCTCTCGAAATTAATGGCCGCAATGACGTACTTTGCGCTCTCAATACACAAACAGCTAATTCATATTTACAATCTGACTGTATTAAATTGTCAATTATCAAAGTCAAATAAAAGAATAGTAAATTTCAGTACAACATTTCAATAACTGTTTATTTACTCATCATTTAACAATATTAAACATGTGATAATTAATCTTCACAAATAAATCATACAGCAGAAATATAAAGATTAATCAATGGTCATACATATATATGAAAATAGTCACTAACAGACTGGTTATAAAGTCAAGATAATTAATGTGAAAGTATACACAATTTGCAGACTATGTGAATTTCCATATATCTGGTTATAGTTTCATTAAAATATGTCCTTATAATTGTCCAGTTTATTTCCGATTGTAAGAAGTCTGCCATTAAATTAAACCCACGAGGATAAAAACTACCAGACCAATCATGGACCTGAGCATCCATAAGACCTAATGTGATAGGCCTTTCCTATAGTAAAAATTCTCTTGTGAGCCAAATCCATGTAAAAAGTTCCTTTTCAAATTTTATAACATATTAGTTTAAAACGGGCGTTTCTTAATGTTTTCCTCTTTATATAATTGAAACTGATTGAATTTATCATTTGTTGCAGCACAATGGACAACACAATTCCAAGCTGGCTGAATGAAAGTTTCCTGGTCTCAGCTCTCCAAGGTGACTCTCATGAACACTGTGTAACTGTGACAGACTTCTCAGCCAGTCCTGCAGTAGCTGCTGGTAATAACTATACCAGTCATCTGTACAGGGTAGTTGTAGAGTACAAGGTTGGGCATGCAGACAAGACAGAGAAAAAATCACTAATTGTGAAGATGCCAATTCAGAAAGGTGTAATGCACGAAATGTCACAGGAGACTGATTTCTTTTCGAAAGAACCCAAAATGTACAATGTTCTTTTACCTAAAATGAAGAAAATCAGCGGAATAAAATTTGGGCCTAAGTCTTTCCACTGCCCTGTTGAAAAAGGAATGGTCATTGAGGATTTGAAACCAGAAGGCTATCTATTGCAAGATAAATTTAAACAGCTGGATTTTGAGCACTGCAAGCTCGTAATGGAGAAACTAGGAAAATTCCACGCCACCACTGTAGTTTGCCACAATGATGATTCACAATTCATTGAAACCATTGGAAAAGAAGCGTTTTACAAAAATGACGGAGTTATGGCGGAGTTTAAGATTTGGATGTCTTCTTCGATGCAGATCTTTATAAATACTTTGCAAGAAATAAAAGTGGATCCTGCCCATATTGATCTGATAACAGCAAAAATCGATCAGCTCTGGGATTCTACTGCTGCTATTTGCCAACCTCATACTAACTCCCTCAATGTCCTCAACCATGGAGACTGTTGGTCCAACAACATGTTGTTCAAATACAACGATGTTGGTAAAGTCATTGACGTGATGTTCATCGACTTTCAGTTATTGAGGTATTCGTCCCCTATCACTGACATTCTTTACTTTGTATATACTAGTGCTAATGAAGAAGTACGTGAAAACAAACTACAAGATCTTTACGATATATATCTTCAAACTCTAAACGAAATGTTGGAAAATCTTGGATGTAAGGATAGGATGACAAGAGAAGAGTTCAGTGAGAAGCTTAGATCAGCTTCTGACTTTGTTCTTGTAGTTATAGGGACCATCCTCCCGTTTACCAAATGTGAAGCGGAAAATGCACTAGATATGGAAAGTTTTGACAAAGACGACGTCATGCATAGTAATGAAGATGAACGGATTCTCAGAATATACAGATCTGAACAGTTTAGAGCTATGTTACCTGCATTAGTGAGGCAATATAGTTCTTTTGTGTCTTCCTAGGGGTAAGCTCATTGAATTTTTGGCTGTGACCATTTATTACCTATTCATTAATGAAATAATGAATAGGGAATGGTCATCTGTTTGTTCCAGCTGTTAAAGTATGGGCTCTGACACTTCCCAGATATGTAAATCTGTCCACCTCTTCGATTTCTTCATCTGACATTCTGAATCTGTTGTTATTCGCTACATTTATCCTCATTGATTTTGTTTTCTTTACATTTATTTTTAAGCCTGTAGATTGTTCACTTTCCAAATACTGCAACTTTGCTGTCATGTCGTCAAATCTATGGGACAGGAAACAAATATCATCAGCAAAGGCCAGTTCTTCAAGCCTCTGTTGTAGTCCCCAGGATATGCCTCTAGCTCCTTTCTCTGATATTATTTGCAAAACCTGGTTTAGAACTATCACAAAAAGTGTTGGGGACAGAACACAGCCTTGCCTAACTCCTAGCTTTACCTCCAAAGGATCACTTAGTTTACCATTATGAATTACTCTACAATGGTAATTTGTGAACATCTCCTTTATAAGAACTATTATTTTATTAGGGATCCCAAATTGCCCAAGTGCTTTCCAAATACTCTCTCTTTTTGGAACTCATTACTTTGCTCGATTATTATCCTCATCGTATTTATTTGGTCTGTGAATGAGCGGTTCCTTCTGAACCCAGCTTGTTCCCTTCTCAACTTCCTATCAACAACCTCTTTGATTCTGTTCAAAATAATTCTTGCGAATATTTTTCCAGGAATTGAAAGCAGAGTAATACCTCTCCAGTTCTCACATTTGGTTGTGTCTCCCTTCTTCGGCAGTTTACATAATAATCCTGTTTTCCAGTCTTTTGGCATTGTCTCTTCGTTCCAAATTTTATGAAATAAAGGCTTTAAAATTTTTGCTGCCACCTCTGGATTAGCTTTCATAACCTCCGGAGTAATGTTATCACTTCCAGGGGCTTTCCAATTCTTTGTTTCCTTCAGTGAGTTCTTTAACTTTCTAACAAATAGGCTACCAGCTAGCCGTCATGTATTAGATTGCAGGTTTACCATTGGCTCTGCACTCACAGTTTACACAGTAGCTAATGATTCTGTATAGTCACTTTGTAATATGGTAATTTTCTACTAGAGAAAGATTCGATGGTGAAGGTAGCACAACATCCTACTGCACTCAAAGAACGCTCTTTACAATAAGACAAACCGAACATGGTGTTTTTGTAATGTGTTTTATTATACGAGGGTGGTTTTTAAGTAAGGACCGGTTTGCGTACAAATCCGTAGTTCACTTGTTTGCCGCAATAAGGCTCATCACCATTTACTGGCATCATTTGTAAACAAATTTCAGCTCTGTAGCTGTCATGTACGCTTCGCTGTGTGTTAAAAATATTTAAACAATCAAATCTCCCGCCGCGTTCGAGGTAAAGGTCAAGTGATACGTTTTTACGATATAATAAGCGTACTCCAAGCTCCAAGATATGTTGTTATGTTTACAGTTATGAAATTTGTGGCCTGATTAACAATAATGTGAGTTTGCTTTTCAAACAAGAGGTAATACAAGTTTACTATTATTTTATATATACTTACAGGGATTTTAGTCGCGTGTAAATAGGCCTGACAAAAATGTAAGAGTTATGGTAAAGCTTTATGTGAAATATATGTAAACTAAACTGTTTTTTCTTCACTACAACAGTACCTACCCAATTCAACTAAATAAACAATGTTTATATAAGTGGGTATTATATTTTTTTTAAATCATAAAGGTACAGAGTATTTTTTATCGTCCTTATACTTAACCGAATCTGAAGAAAGATTTTTTCCATCAAATACAAAAAGCTGATCAATTTGTAACGTGAGACTGAAGTTATTTTCTTTTTTTTGTTAGTGCAAATCCTACTCATAAAAAAATATATAGCAGCTGATATGAAGTTTGTCAATGGAATTACGAAGTTGAAAGAGAAAGAGTACTTTATAACTGTACCTTGTTTAAGTGAAGCCATTAGTTTGAACCAAGAATCAAGAAGTTTTTTCCATGTCAATTAAAATTTCAAAATTATATTTTACAAAAACAGTTAGGGTCGTTGTGTATTACTGTAATTACGTCATTAAGCGTTGTTACTTACATTTAATAACGCTACAAGGGTCTGCTGATTAGTGATTAGTGATGATTCTAGCCCAGCCACAACTCCAAGAGCCTTCCTTCTGCCATGAACAACTGTGACGTTTGACGGGTGATGAACTTCCTCCATGAGTGTTAGTATTGATAATATACATCTAGAAAATGGTGTTACCATGGATTTCATCTATCCATCGCTTGTTGTTTTGCTCAATTTAAATCATCACAACACAAATAGAACCATGTATTTGTGAACTAACAAGTACTACTTGCCCTCCGCTATACACAGCTAAAGCAAACAACAACAGCACACACTGCCCACACTGGCAAATTACCCCTGGTTTTAGTTGTTTAATTGCTAAATGCTCAATTAACGGTATTTTAGTTGACTGTACAAGTCTATCTACGTCCATCTACAGTAACTAACTGCTGTCAGGCCGCGGCCTTCGAAGTGGCAACGTCGCAAGTAGGGTTGTAACAGCTGTTTTGTTTGGATGCAGCTAAATGGTATTTGTGTATTTACGAAAGCTTGGTTAATGGACTATGAAAATATTGACTCCGCTTTAAATGTACAAATCATATTGTTTTGTTTTTAAATTCTGTATGTTTTATTTTCAACATTTCAATAAATTTATGTTCATACATTTAAATTAAAATCAATAAAGTACGAATTAATGAGCTGATGTCACCTGTCTGCCATGTTATCTAATGGGACGTCTGACTGACACTAAACAACCCTGCTTGCGACGTTGCCAAATCTACCAGTAGTTAAAGGTGGCCTCTGCTGTATCCGTAGTCGATGGAGGAGGGAGTCATATGATTGATTGAATGATATTTATGATATTTATACTAAAGCCTCTGCGGTGGGGCACACGGAAGATTTCTCAGGTGCCGTTTGACGTCACTAACTGCTGACGTCACTAACTGCCGCGTCTGAAGAAACAGGCAATTTTATGAAATTAATTATTATTATTTATTATTATTATTAAATTATTATTATTAAATTAAACCGTCATAACCTAACCAAACTAACCAAACGTGCTGATAATGGAAAAATCGAATGAAGGTTTACTAATCTAAAAAATAGTTTTGTTCATAAAATGAAATTATAAATGCCTAAAATTCAATTTTATAATTTTTAATTATAAAATTAAACTGTCATAACCTAACCAAACCAACCAAACTTGCTGATATGAAAAAATTGTTGACAAAAAGTTAACGCTACCAGCGGGATTCTAACTCGGTACGTTCGGATTATTAGCCCGCCACGCTATCCACTACACCACAGAGGCCGATGGCACAATCCGTATCGTTGCGGTATTGGTGTTCCCTCAAAGTGACATCAGCAGTTAGTGACGTCAAACGGCACCTGAGAAATCTTCCGTGTGCCGTTTTGAAGCCTCTGACTCAGCTAGTAAATCTTTGTCTTAAGTGTGGGGTTTTTTCCTGATTCCCTAAAGGTAGCAAAAACCATACCTATCTTTAAGAAGGGAGACCCATCGCTGTTATCAAACTTTCGTCCTATTTCCATACTCCCAGTCTTCTCTAAGGTACTGGAGACGGTCATAAAAAGACAACTCATGGCCTATCTTGAGACAAACAGCATTCTTTCGAGTGCACAGCGTGGATTTAGAGGGGGTAGATCTACAACCACCGCACTGTTGAGTCTTGTTGACACAATTACTGACGCCTTTGAACACAAATGAGTCAATCCTCCTTCGACTTTGCGATCTGAGCAAGGCGTTTGATGTGGTGTCCCATAAGCTACTGATAGGCAAACTAGCAAAGTGGTGGGCGGAACTGTGCTGAAGTCCCTGTCCTGTTATTTGGCAAATCGCAGGCAAGTTGTTGCGATAAATGGGGCCTTCTCCTGCGTTAGGAGTATCTCACATGGAGTGCCACAGGGCTCGGTGCTCGGCCCTCTCCTTTTTAGTGTGGTGGTGAACGACTTGAGGCTTAATGGCTCCACCCACCTTTTCGCTGACGACACCACCCTGATATCTAGAGGAAGCGGACATTGAGCAACTGCATATTGAAGCTGACCATCTTTTGGAGCTGGCCAAGAACTGGTTTACAGCAAACCGCCTGAAATTAAATGCAGCCAAAACTCAGTCCTTGCTCTGCACACTGAAGCCACTAACAGAAAGAGATGAGTCGGTTAAACTTCTAGGTTGGTTTCTGGTTGGATCCCAAACTAAGCTGGAGCTCACATATTGATAGGGTATGCGCACTGCTGTCTAGGGTTATTTGCCTCCTAAGGAAACTTCGGAACATCATCCCGAAGAAATTCTTGATAACTGTGTACCATGCTCTGTTTCATAGCCATCTTATGTACGGCTTGGTACTTTGGGATAATTCACCAGCAGCATAGGACATAATATTATTGCTTCAGAAAAAAACTGTAAGAATCATAATATGTCAACTAACTACAACGAACATTGTAAGCCCCTTTTAAAGACCTGGGCATTCTTACAGTCTTCAGTCAATACGTATTGAACATCTTAATACTACTGAAAGAGAATGTCCATCTGTTTGACCGAAGAGAAGCTCATCACCGCTATGACACCCGGCAAGCACTACACCTTGACATGCCGCGATATCGTCTCACCCGCACCCTCAAAAGCTATCCCCGCTATGCCATAAGGCTTTTTAATACCTTGCCGGATTAAGGTGCGAGATATGAACACCACCTCTTTCAAAGCGGCCATCAGAAAATAGCTTGGTAGATAGGCCACTATAAATACTCGCTGGAGGAGCTGAGTGAAGAGCCCCTAAAAGTTATATAAGCCCATCCTTAAAAATGGGGAACACGTTTTATTTACTGCCACAGCCTGATTAAGTTTGATTAAGTTTATATGTATGTAAATTGTAAATAGTAGTGTTATTTTAAATGTATATATAATAACGCAGTCTATCCGACATTGTCGGTCAACGACGCAGCACACAAGTATCAAGTAAGTAAGTATTGATTATGGAAAAGAAATCTATTACAACACCGTGGGGATTGGCAATAAAAAGGTATAGAATAACTATTTATAATGTGATTCGATAAATAATATAATCGATTATACATTTATACTTTATTTATTTATTTTTAAATCTATTATTTACCCATGATACGCTAATTTTATTTGGTTAGTGCATAATTTACTTACATTTACTTTGTATAGTGGAAAGTTTAATAATCAATGACACCGTGTACATTGTTTAAATTTTTTTCTATGGTTCTAAAAGGTAGAAAACTACTGTTGGACTGTGCCTTCTGTCTTCTGTCTGACACATCAACGAAAAAAAGTTTATAGATTCAGATTGAAGATTGACATAGTGTCAGTGTAGTGAGTGACGCAAAACAAGTGAAAAATAAATAAACATTCTTCGTATCTTTAATAGTCTCGGTCGCCAGGAAAGGGACATTTTGCAATTAACTTATATATTGTATCTAGTTTTTTAGCAATTTAAATTATTACTTTTGATTTTCATATTTAAAGTGGAACTAACAGACTGTCATCCTGATTAATAGTTTATATCGATGTGAAAAATGCAAGTGTCATATGGTGCTTGGGCCTAGTCCATTGATTCAAGTTGGTATGTCTTTTGATATCTAAGTTTACTGTAACATTGCAGTTAGCCCTTTTAATTTATCTACCTACCTACAAATTATTGTTCTGAAAAGTAAAAGATTTATATTAGGCCTAGGCCTACTTTGTGGGCTAAGATCCTGTCGTAGCATTGTGTTCTTTTCAATGCTGGGTAGGCCTATTGCTCACGAATCATAGAGGTCCTATTTGTTTACCTTAGGGGCTTCTAACAAAAAAAAAAAATGTTTTTTTCTCATTATTTGGCCTATATTGAACACTTTTTACGTTTGGCACTTTTAGGGCAGACGCCTATTTCACACTGAAAATCGTGTTTGAAAATCGCAAAAAATGCTAAACATCGGCAACTTTTAAATTTTGAATAGCAAACCTAACCTAGCCTTGGGTCTTTTCAACCCTCAATTTCAAACTGAACCTTAGGAAGATCTTAAGTTAGTTTGTAACATCAGCTAGGCATATTTGACGTTTTAAGATCGATTCACAAACATCAGTTAAGTTACGGCGACTGCACTTTACTTTAGGTCCTACTTACACTCATTCGAATGAAAATTTTTATTATTCGATTGTTTCATTCGATATATCGTTTGGTTAGTTAGGTTAGGTTAACCTAACCTAAGTTATAACTTATTGAATAACTTAATCGATATATCGATCGATATTTTCATTCGAATGAGTGTAGGACCTAAAGTAAAGTGCAGCCGTTACGGCACGTCACAAGTCAGTAAAATCAGTCACATCACATTCAAAAAATTATTCTTAATTGGTTTTTCTATTGGGCTATCTACACCCATTCGAAGCAGGTCCGTCAGTCGCTCTGTCGGCGTCTTTCAGTCAATTTCAGATTTCTTCCCACCGATATTGTTCAGATTGTTCCGACTTCTGACAGATGTATAATGTAAGTAGGCCTATGTGTTTGAGGTAAAAGAAAATGTTTTTTTATTTTAATTAGGCCTAATATGATTGAGTTTATAAAGCAAGTTACTGTTTGTAACAATCAACAAGTAGGTAGACAATGAAAATTTGAAAGAACTTAAGCCTATGGTGTTTTAACTTAATTATAAATTCTTGACGGTAACATCACCTTGATGGTTGATTTACACTTAATAGCCTAGGCCTATATCAGTTCCGGCACTTCACAGTCTAAGAAAATTAGGTACTTTGGTATTATCCAGGGGCCACCCTTATACAGCACACTGCGGCGGTTATGTTAGGATGGGTTAACATAAATATGTTTGTAGGACTTTCCTCGTTTCGTTCTGAATCAAACGATTCCAGATGAGTCATCCTTTCGCATGCCAAAACCCCTCCAAGTACATCAAGGTCAGGTTGTTGACGGAAGCACACACATCACCTGTCACCCGCCTGTAACTGGGGTATTTGGCGGGTGAAAGTATGACTCATCTGGTATCGTTCGATTCATAACAAAACGAGGAATGTCCCACAAACATGTTTAACCCAACCTAACATAACCGCCACAGCGCTGTATATCCACTTGGTGGATTATAGTGGGCGTCGCCGCTCAACTTAATCCTCGCCAACATCGCTGCCTTCTGGGAGCCAAAATTCAAACGCCGCTAATCGTAATCATGCTAAATTTGGACAGTAAGTCAATTAAAGTATGTTCTTTCTAATTATGTAGTTATTTTTGGCCTCCGGTAAAAAAAATCCCTCAAAAATAAGTGGCCGGATAATACCAAGGTACCGAAAAAAATGGATTTTCTGTTGCACTATCTACACTCATCCAGGGCAGGTCTGTCAGTCAATTTCAGATTTAGCCTATTTCCACCGATTTTTGGACTGTTTGGACGCCTGACGAACGTGTTTTGAGGTTTAGAAAATAGGTATTGTTTTTGTTATTTAAGTAAAATGATTGTATAAGTTACAATTTAAGTACCTGCCTACTTTTAGCGAATTTCCCTTTAGGGAAGTAGCTATTACGGTACTGTAGGTGGCACGGTAAGACCTGGACCCGGAACCGATTTACTTTTTCATTTTGATGTCCCCAGAGGCCAAAAACACCATTCGTTCAAATTTTTATGTATGTATATATAGATTTATATATATATATATATATATATATAGGTATATATAGGTATATATATATATAGGTTTATATTTTTATATATAATATATATATATATACGTCTGTGAACGCGATAACTTGAGTAATTTTTGTCCAATTTTGATGAAATTTGGTTTAAGTGTGTAAGGCGGGATAAACTTAAATGAGTTCGCGAACCAGCATGATCGGACCATGGGAATGGGGTTTTACGGGGGGTTTTATGGGGTAAAAAATGGTTTTTCTCATTTTTGACCCTCAAAACACAACATTTTCCAATTTCACTCTAGACCTTTTTAAAAAACTTAAAAAAACAAATAATTTAGTATATCAAAGTGTTTTTGTACGGTTATTGGTAACGGAGAAAGTTAAAAAAACTAAATTTAAAATTCCCATGTTATTCTTATGGAGAATATTGTAAAACTAGGCAAAACCCGTCGAAATCGACGGTTACTTTCAAGGCTTACGCTAATTCATCTAACTGCGATATTTTGAGCATTTAGCATTGATCAATAAGTGTAAAAACAATAATGATATTAATTGCGTTAGTTACCAAATATGGTTGATCATTCAATGAATAAAATATTTCCCATACTGTACGTTATCGGTGTTGTTATTATGCTATCTGGTATCTCTTCCTTTGGAAGAACCTTTAAATAGTATTAAAATCGTATTGGTGGATCTTTTGTAGTTAAACACTTCCGTGATTTCATCAGTGTAATGCAGATTAATCTATGATTTTATTTGGAAAAAAATCTGTCTGTTGGGAAGACACGTTCTAACTTCAAAGGGGTATATCCGTTACAGTGTAAGTTTGATTTTCCTTCGTCACGTTGCGTCAGTTCATATCGTACATCTGTGCCAATTAATAACCCTCTAGCACAGTTTTGAGAAATTGGTTGTGGTTTTACTGTTAAAGCTGGAATTCCTTGACATGGGGGATGTCAGTTAGTTGTCTCAGCCTTATCAGTTACATAAAGTTATCAATATAATCTCTCTACGGAATGTTAGGTGTAGTGGAATATACTTGAATTAAAGTCAGCTTTTATTCTTGAACTGTTAGGGGCCTCCTCATTTATATGGTCGTGCAGCTTCATTGGCAACAAATAATGCGAATGACATAGTAAGAGCACAATAAAATTCTTCTGCAGATGAATTTTCTGTTGGATAAATATAAGCCGAATTATAAATGTCCCAATGCGAGTTTGAGCATTTTGTAACTATATTATATGGGTAAGTTACATAGATTTTTTAGGTTGCTGCTCAGTGCACTTTAAGGATATATATTTTAGAGTTAAATTAAATGGTTTTTGTTGCCGAGTAGCGCTAGTAAACATGCACAACCCTTTTCGTTAGTCTAATAACATTTAAAGGCTCTCTAAGAGTTCAAGTTCTTATTTGTATTCATATCTATATTATGTTTTCACTAAGCGTAATGAATACATCAAAGTAACCTCTCTGATAAGTCTGCAGTATATTGCAGTTTTCCAGCTTAATGACTTTCTAAATCGTGCACATATTTCTACATAAATATTGTAAAATGTTTATCCAGTTGCTGTAAACCACTATTAATTTAACAAAATATGGACACGGCTCAAATGGGCACCGTGCCCTTCTGCACTTGTATTATTTTGTATTGTATTACACAATCGAATATTTTTCTAATGATTGAAAGCATGTATGACAATAATCTCATGAACCTATGATGATCTGTCTAGAGTAATATGATAAAATATAGGGAAAATGTGTGAGAAAGGCAGACACCAACCCGTAAAATAGATATAAGATAGTTCAATAAGAAACAATTGTAGGAGTTATTTTGATAAAATGATTTTCCACTGATTTCGTAATGGAACACAAATGATATTACTGGATATTGCAACACAAATTATTCAGAGGAAAATCAATTTTAAAATCAGAAAATAACATTGCAAATACTTATTTTGGACAATTCAGTAACTCCCAATAAATGTGTATTGTTTAAAACACAATTTACAAATTAACAGCTGTTTTATTAAAAAGTATTATCCACATGACCAAAATGTAAACAAATCTGTGGAGGGATCTTTAAAGGCTTCTGGGGCAGAGCCCTAAGCGAATTTACTTCGTTTTTCTTTTGATAACTCACCTACAGACCAAGACCTTTCTTTGGACACCTCTACCAAGTTTCTACGCCCAGCTGTTCTCTCAAATTAGTGGACACAAAGTTTCCAATTAAATATTTAGATTCCCCCATGTTAATCTTATGGGAGAAAACCCAACATTGATGGAAGATTCTGCCCAAACTAATAAAGATATCAAAAAACTAAAAACACTTTGCAAAACTACAGATCAGGGCAATTTTTTTGACACTTTAATCATCAAAATCGGTCCAAAAATGAGGGAGGAGTTCTGTTCACAAAAATCGGCTTAGCGTATTATATATATAGATAGATGTTGTAGTTTGTTTGTTTATGGATATATTTTGATCAAACTTGGAAAATTTATTTATTTTATACTAAGCTATTAATATTTTACTAAAATATACACTTTATTAGTTTCCTTGTAGCAGCAAACCTAGTTAATCAATAAACCTTATGTTTTTTTTAAATAGATTTAATTAAAAATTAATTCAGAGAAATGGAAATTCGCTAAGTCGGCAGGTTTGCTGCGGCGGGGGTATTTGTAACTATCAACAAGATGGGCGATTAAAATTTGATAGAATTATGTGTTTTAACTATTCCTGTATTTTTTAAAAAATTTTTACTGTAACATCATTTAATAATTAAGTTAAAGTTAAAGTCACGGAAGATCTGGCTGAAACCAAATCACTGTCAATTTGACAGAGAAATTGCGGATGCACCTGAGACTGAAACTGTGACTGGTCTGTAACGGAACAGTGACTGGACTGATATGTCTGAATCAACCGTAAATGAAGTGTCGGAAGACTGACTGAAACCCACTGACAGATAACATAGTTGACTGAAAAATTGCGGATGCAACTGAGACTGAATTGTGACTGGACCGTGGCTGACTGATGTGTGTAAATCAACCTTTATCAGATGAAATGTCTTCGTAGTAAACTTAGGCTAATGTTAGGCTATTATTTATAAAGTTGGGCACTTAAGTTAGGCTATATGGGAGATTATGATAATTAGACCATACATTATGTAATTTGTAATTAGGCCTACTTACATTAATATTTGACCTAGCACAGTCTATTAACTTTAACCTAGGCCAGACATCAGACCTCAGAGCCTTTAAAACTTAATTTGTTACAGACTGAAGACTACAGTAGGTCATCACAGTTAAAATCTAAATTTGCCTTCATAGTAGGCCTACCGGTAGTTGTTCTTATTTTTGTGTAGCCTACCGAAAAGGGAATCCCTGTCCTCAATGCCAAAGCAGACTGAATTTTAATTATTTAGTAGGCTTATGCTTAATAACTTAGGGAAATTTAAATTGCAGATAAAATCTGCTTTTCCTCTTCATTACAGAAGGCCTATTACCTAGTCTAGGCTATATTAGTTTGTTATCACATACGGTATTCCGCTTTATGACACTAAATAACTTAAGGCCTGTTCACCCCGGCGTAGCCAGATGTCTGCAGACGCATTCGGTGTATTAATACGTCGCCAGTGCACTGTTCACACTGCAGCTACATCTGACGGCTACGTAGCCTGTGAGCTGGCTGTTTTTTGTTTATTTTATTATATTATTTTATATTTGTTAATTTATTGTTTATTTTTATTAGTATTTCATGAATTTCAGTTAAGATTGCCATGGTTCAATTGCAGCTTTTATAGTAGGCTACCCTTGAAAAGTCTGTTAATTAATGTGTTAATATTGACAAAAATATTTCACTCTAATTTTAGGCCGTATATAGTAGACTATAAGATTCGCGCTATATTATAATATAAAGAAAATATTACCAGAAAATATGCAATAATTTTGCTCATCCATAAGGATTACATAATAAAATAGTCTATGGAGTAAGTAAATTACCCCCGCCGCAGCAAACCTGCAGAATAAGCGAATTTCCATTTGATTTTCAATTAAATCTATTCAAATAACATTAGTTTTAACTAGTACCTAGGTTTGCTGCCTACAGGGTAATAAAGTGTGTTTTTTTTAATAAAATAATAATAGCTTGGTATAAAATAAATAGATTGGCCAAGTTTGATCCAAATATATGCATAAACAAGCAAACTACAACAGTTTACTTATTCTCCATAAGAATAACATGGGAATTTTTAATTTACAATTTTCTCCATAACCAATAACCATACAAAAACACTACAATATACTGAATTATTTGTTTTTTTTTTAAGCTCTTCAAAATGGTGTAGAGGAAAATTGGGAAATTTTATGTTTTGAGGGTCAAAAATGAGAAAAACCAATTTTTACCCCATAAATCCCCCCATAAAACCCCGTTCTCATGGTCCGATCATGCTGGTTCGCGAACTCGTTCGAATAAACGTAGGTTTACACGTTTGTACCAAATTTCATCGAAATCGGATCATTTTTGCTCGAGTTATTGTGCTAATGGACACACACACACACATACATATATATATAAATATATTTTTATTACAAATATATAAATATATATATATATATGAAAAATAGAAAAATAGGGCTACTATATATAAATAAAGATTAAACATTAATAAACTTAGTACCCAAGTAAAATTATTTATTAAAATATAAATAATAGAAGTATGACTTCAAAATAATGATTATATAATTCAAAATTAATAACACTTAATTATGTTATGATTTTAGGGATTGCCCGTTTTAACCGACCTTTTGAGTTATATGACCTAGGTCCGGTCCCAATAGGTTCGGTTAAGAGGGGGTCTACTGCATATCAAATCAGCCGCTGCTGATCTATCATAGACTTTCATTGTGTAAATTTGTGGTAGGCTATAAATGTTGTCTAAAGAAAGATAATGTTGATCCATGGTTAGCAACAGACTGTGGGTTGTTGCTATTAGGTTTTTAAGCAACCGTAATGAGACTTATCAACTATGCAATCGTTCTATTTTATATGTAGCTTAAATCTTTTTTAACTGTGCACGTTTTTCCTTTTACAGTTTTTAGCAAAGAGTAAATAAGGATGGCTCCTGGAATCGGAGGAAACGGTGGAGGCCCTCGCCAAACTGGAACTGTTCCTAAAACCAAATCCCACAACGAAGCATCACGAGAGTATAACGGAGCGACTCGTCGAGATTATCATCCCTTCAATCATGTCCACATGCCCAACAACCTGGTAAACCTATTAAATATATATACAAGAGATGGAATACCGACAAAGATTATCTGGCCATACTCTAACATATTTAGGCGTAGGCTATAGAAAAAAACTTTCATATTACACGATATGCCTACTGGAATTTTGGATCCATACAATACCAATACACATTTTGAGACTAAAATACCCCCGCCGCAGCAAACCATCAGTTTTTGGGAAATTCGCCAAGACAAAATTTAAGCCTAAATCAATTAATCATTTCATTAAAATAATTCATATTCTCTAAAATAAAATTGCAATTTTTACACCTGCGAATATTGGCTGTTTTTTCTACAATATAGAAAAGCTATGTCAGCAATTAGGTCAAGTTCAAACTAAACAACTAATTACCACTCTTATTGTGCAAGTGTGTGGATGTATACCCAGGTATTTATAACAATTTGGGTGGTAACCAGAGGAATTGTGGTGTATTTATTTTTAGAGACTTGGCCTCTTGCCAATGGGTGGCCATATTGTGAAATCTTTTGCCGCCTTGTGGTCCTCTGACAATCCCATGGCTAATCCGGTATGCTGACATTTTAGATTATATTTACTGTAGGTACTTTTACATTATCAGATTACACATAGTAGGTTACACTCTGCACATATTTAAAATACTTACGTAAAATGTGTAGCATATTAGTAATAGTTTTCAAAGGATCACATCAATCGGAATTGGGACTAACCTCATTGGCCAACTGATGACATATTTAAATCTTGTTCCAAACATATTCAAACTAATTCCAAGTTAATTTTATTCCACCCTGGGTTATCTATATAACTAGTTGTTGGTCCTATTTTTAAATGTAGACTTAAATTTTAATGATGTAGATTTAAATGTTTGAAATTTTAAAACAATGATTTCGCGTGTTGACCTATCGTAATCTGATATGTTTTATAAACTGTTTGGTTAATTATTATGGTATTTTCTTAATTTGTCTGTTTAAAGATGATCATTATATAACAATATAGGTTTAAACGATATTTAATACAATGTTATGAATTGACAGAATGCATGTAGGCCTAATGGCAGTCTTGTCAGAATTGACTGAGTTTATTATAGTGTCTTGAGTTGCTCAAAGGTTTATTTATTATCTGATCAGCCCATTGCTATGATTTTTATTTTGTTGTATACCCAAACATTCTACTATGATGATGAATTCAGTCATTTGCAAAATCTTGACAGTCATACATAATTTTAACTCTTATAAATTGGTATCTAATGCTAGATTATAAGTATTTTTTCATGCTGTACAAATTAAATTAACTGAACGATGAACGCTCACTTCTCTACTTTGGTTTTTAACCAAAATGAAAATAAACGTAAGTATCAAAACCAAATTAGGCAAAATAGTCGTTACATGACATGTTTTAACCTAGTCATTTTTCAAAAATGCAGTTTTCAAGTGATTAACCTAAAAAGTAGTGATGGTAGAATCCAGGAATTTCAAATCTCAAATCCATTTTTTTTTTTTTTATTAAACCTCGAATCTTTGAATCTCGAGTCCCAAAAATAATTACAAATGGGCTTATGGTGATTAAAAAAGCAAGAATGGAATAGGAACCATTTGACACAAATAACCACCACCACGACTATAACCTCTATGGTTAGTCAATGTCACAGTACTGTATATTACGACGTCAATAACCTCTATGGTTAGGGGCAATACTGTGTTCTTTTCTAAAAGAAAAAATATTTTCAATCTCGTTAATTGAATCTCGAATCCGAATAATTTCTTAGGATTCAGTGGATTCGAGATTCAGACTCGACACATCCCTACAAAAAAGAAAACCCTTTGAGAGCAGCTTTATTTATAAAACCATGCATATTACAAATTGTGTCAAACTACTTTGATGCAATCTTCTGAAATACTTTCTGTGTAACTTGTTGAGAGTGGTTAGCTTGGTTTGTTGTAGAGCTCGCTGGACTGGCAGCCGGTCAACGAGACGATTCCTCACCCTCGCAATCGCAAGGAATCCAACACTTCAGCCTCCAGGTTTTCTGAATCTTTTGACACAGGTGAATACACTTCTTATTTTTTTGTGTTACCTTCAAATTTAATGTGAGGCAGTAGGCTACAGTACATTCTTAAAAACTCATTCCCAGGATAACCCAACTTAAAGAATAGCAACCTAATCGCCCAAAAATCTAATCGCTTTGGGTGCCTTGCCGTAGCAAAATTCTAGAGATGAGCTAATGGTTTTTGTTTGTTTCCAAATTTTTTATCTGACCTTTTTTGCTCATTTGAGTTTGCTTTATTGATTATTAATATCTACTGAATGCTCAACACTATAATAGCCTATGGTTCACAATATCCATGTCCATGGCAATATTGTGAAAAAATATTAAAAATGAATGTTGTCTGTTGTACTATTCTATTCTTGAATACTACTACTCTACTTTGGCAACTAAAAAGTCTACCCTAAACTTTGGCGGGTTTCGTTTAATTGATTTTTGTTGCCTATAGGCTAATAAAGTCTATATAGCCTACAGAGTCACTAGAAATTGCTGGAATGATTGTAAACCATTTTACTGGCTGCTACATAGAGCGAATTTAAAAAAACCACACCCAGTGATTCAAATACAGTGCACAAGTCTTATGAAAGACATATTTCTGTGCCCATATCACTTGATGCTTGATAATGATCCTTATACTTATGTTTGTTTTCAGAAGAAAATGGCGTAACACAAGACAACTTGTGGTTCAATACCGGCCAACGCCACTCTGTGTACAACAGCGACGATGATGAGGTGAGGGCGGTTTGTAATGAAACATTCAAATAATAAGAAAGACAGGAGATATTCAGCAGTTTTACGCTTGTATTTTATAATTAGCACTCATTTTTTATTAGGGCATCTGGTTATGTACCACAACCAACCTATGATGGATATTTTAATATCCTATTTTTTTTCAATATTGTAATTCCTACACAAATAGTAAAGAGTTCAAGAACATTATAGCACAGTCTAGAATAATTCTGGCTAGGTTTGTTTGAAGAGAACATTTGAATGTAAATGACAATTATTCCCAAGTATAGTTCTATTGCTGTGTAGCAATTAAAACAATTGTTCAAACATTTGGCTCAACTAGTACACATTAATTACTTGCCAGAGTTAATCACCTTTTGTTAGAGAGAACAGCCATAACGGGGTAACAACTTTTTTACTAGTCACTTGACGTGTTTTGGCATTGGTTCTAAAGTAATTACAGGGATTGTTGATTTTGTCTAATTTTTTTTGTTCTATTAGGCTACAAATCGTGTTTTTTTGTAACTTCTACTTGCAGTAACTAGTTAGTCCTTCTTAAATTTTTGATTTGTTTCAATTTTGTTGTTTAATCTGTAAACCTGTTGAAAAGTTTAAATTTTTGTACCTACTATAGTATTCTTGTCTTATAGCAGTAATAAAACTAGGAATTTTGAATCTCAAATCCACGTATAATCCAAACAACAGGTAGATCTCGGTTGAAGCAGATTCTGATGATGGCATCGTAATGTCAAAACAACCATAACAAAAGTTACAACTTTTGAGCTGATTGACGAAGGTAAAGTCTACTGCTTGTGTTACATTACAGCTCAGGGCTGGCAAAATCATCAAAACTAATTTAACTCAAAAACTTGTAACTGATTTTAAAATGTTTTATGACAAAATCAAAGCAAAATTTTGTTGTGTTATCACCCACGGCCGTGTAAAAATATGGGAGTGTTATCTTGAAATTAGGGTTACATTGTTATCATTTCCAACATGTACAAAAATGTTGTAGAATTTCAGTCCCAAAAATTAAACAAACAAAAATTTTAATGAAGTCTAGAATAAGTTTAAGACTTTCGGTTGCCAGCTGTTGGGCAAAGGGTCACTAAAACTGTTAGGGCATTTACATCCGTATTCAATGGTAGTTGGAGTTACAACTGAACTGACATACAAAATGTTCTTCCGCAACCGATTGAGAACAATGTTGTATTGATATAGGTATCTCAAGCGAGCTGGGCCGAGAACGGCTACAAGAGCAACAACCTAGGACAGTCAGACAAGGCGCAGCAGGTGGCGTCTCGGCTGCATCAGATCAGAGACTATGTCAACCAGACAGTCAGCATGATGGACGGGCTGCGAGCTACCGGCGGACAGGTACCTCAATAAAGACTATAACTTGAGCATGTGAAAAATATGGTACCAGCGATAGCAGCTTAGAGGTCTATTAAAAAATGAATGGACGTTTTGTCGGATTTGCTTCATTGAATAGGGCTGTTGCCCCATATTTGTGTCATATTGTTTGTAGGCTACCTTCAGTATTCTATTTAGATGTTGGCACTAGCACTATTATACAATAGTATTTCATGTCATTTAAACTTTTACACTGCGGAGATTTTGTAATTGAAAATCCCCAGTTGTAAAGTATGTGGTGTAATAAAGGTTTTGTTTGTAGAAAAGTTACTGACCAATTGAAATTTTTTGCTAGATTTCTAACGTGAACAGAAGTAATGATATTAGTTGGGGTGAAATCTTAGGAAATGTTTATTGATTTTAAAAATTGCTGAATCAATGTTCTTGATGAGGCTAACAGTGGTGCATTTTGTGGCAAATATTTTGTCGGTGAAAAATCTTTGGGTGAAAGATGATGGGGCTAGGCCCCCACCACTGGAGCACGTGGTCAAAATGGCTGATATTTTCCCAATAGAACTCTTCTATAAAGTCTTGTGATTTTTTTTTACTTTGTCCCAGCAAGTGCATGATCAATTTGGTAACTGTAAAATTTCACAACCAGTCTGGGGAGAAATGTTCTGAAGTAGTTGGAAAAATTGATATTATGTTTGATTTAAAAGGGCACTAATGTTTTTAAAATGTTTTCAATTTTATACTATCTGGCTAAAAAACAAGGTTGGAAATGTCTTTTGAAGATGCTTGAGAATGCTTTGAGATGCACAGTGAATGTATTCACTATGTTACAGATAAGAGACACACACATAGGCCTACACATAATCAAAAATAAATTATTGCGGTTTATTTTTGTAAACTTTTTAATAATTCAAAATTTCTTTGTTGCAAAAACGTTTTTTTTTTTTCAAAAACTTGATATTAACAATAACATCTGCATTCTTGGCCAACAACTTAAAAAAAACAAATTAGATTTAGATAGGTAGCTATTTTTTATTAACTGAAAACAAAATTTGAATTTTATCAAAACAGTTTCTAACTTTTAGGCCTACCATGCTATAAATTTATCCATTTGTTACCACAAGAACCATATAGCCCCTGTTTGATGTTCTTAAATACTGTCAAAATTGTTAATGGAGGTAATTGATGATTGTAGCGCAATATGGCTCAGCACGAGAAATTATCCTCTATGCTGGAAGGCCTGCGAGACAGTGAGTTGAAACTTCAATCCCTGTACGAACGACTGCAACGCAACCCTGCACAACCCAAGGTGAAGTGCTTGCTAAACACTAATATTTCTTGATCAACCTTATCTTTTCCCACGGAATTTAAATACCAATAATCACTAAATACCTAGAAAGTAGGGATGAACGGGATTGTACTTTAACGGGGCAGGACATTAGGCTATTTGTATTTCCTTTGTGATTTTCAACACAGGAAGGGAATGGGACTTTTCTTCCTTTGCAAAAGGGTAACATTACCCTAGATAGTTTAAAGATATTGAGCAATTGCAAATTTCATTAAACCCGAAAAAAACTATTTTCAGTCTTTATTGCATGAGTTTGTCATCATGAATGCAATGCTTGATCTTGCAACTGTCGTTATTATCTACTGCTAATGTGAGGACAACATCATCTTCTCCCAAAGTAACAATTAAATCATCAACATCCCCTGTGATTGCCTCAAGACAGTTGGAACAGATATTTTTCTCCAACTTTCCAAGTATGTTGTGATCTGTCCATATCCACGTTATCATTAAGATAGGGCAATGAAAACAGTGCAGATATTTCACTCACCTTACTAGGTATTTTTAGCTGTTTCATGACTAAATGTTTGTGTTGATGCCAATATACTTCTATAAAATACACAAAAAATATAGTCATTAGCTCCTTTTTAAAGGGGTTCTAAAGATCCAGTCATAGCAATAATTAAAAACACATTTTCTCTCCAGATAATTTAAAAAGTTCATGTCAATGCTTTATTTGTTAATTTTCTTTGTTCCTTTATGAAGAATATAAATTGCTCGAAATATTTTTTTTTAGTTTCACACTTTTTGTCTATGCAGAATTGTGAGTTTTTAATCTAATGTGTTTGTTTTCACCAAAATCCTAACTATCTAACCTAAAAATTCAATTGAGATAGAACTATCCATTTTAACTTTGATGTAGAATACAGATATTCAGTCCTATGTCAGAAGTAAGTCAATCCAAGTCATTGCTATCATATCCATTAATTGATATTCCAAATGAAGTTTCTCTACTGCACTTAGCAAGGATTGTTTCTCTCTGTGCAGCACTTTGGTTTTGTATTGCATGCGTGCAGACCATATTTTTACCAGAATTACGGGGGGAAATACGGAAAATGGGGAAAATCAACAAATTTGCGCCGAACATTTGAAACATAAAAATATAACCAGATGTATACAATTTATATACAAAAGTTGTTATATAACTAAAGGTAACAATACATGTACTGTATTCAGAATAATGTCATATTGTACAAAGTTATAACTTTTTTATAACTTTACTAGCTGACCCGGCGAACTTCGTATCGCCTAAGTTATAGGTTTCCCCTAAGACAGACCGATGGAAAGAAAGTACCGTTACGTTTAATTTTCAAGATGATCTCGTTCGCATCGCTCAATCACGTCCTGGTTGAAGTTCGTTCGCTACGCTCACTCACCTTTGGGTTGGAGCTCGTTCGCTACGCTCACTCACCTTTTGGTTGCAAATTAGCTGTTGTCATAAATGTAAAAGAAATAATAGTGCTGCACCCTGTTGGTAATCCTTGTAACTTTAATGCTATTGAACATCATAGAACAGAACCAACTTGTTTAATTGAAACAGCTGTTAAGATTCATTAATTCCATTTCTCACAAGGTTAACATGGGAAACTCCAGAGCCACTGGGTCGGAGCCCTTTAAAGAATTTCGAAACGGGAAATAGTTTACATCCGATTCGCATACCTACAGAATTTACACACCAAATTTCATAACGATCGGTGAAGTCGTTCCGGAGGAGTTTGGAGACAAACACTGTGACACGAGAATTTTATATATTAGATATGACTTGAAAAACAAAATTTTAGTTTTTCCGAAAACAAAAGTTTGTTATTCAAAGTTAGATCTAATTTTTGTACTTTACTATAATATAATAAATATTACATGTATTTATAGGAAATATATTTCTGAACAAGAAAATATACATATATATACAGAAATATAAACAAATAAAAGTTCCAGAAGCATTATTCTGGCGTGAGACACACATACGATTGTAGGCTAGGCTATGATTTAGGCATAGCCTATGGCATAACCTCAAAACAATCACCATTTCAATAACACGATTTTTGACATAAATAATAATACTCACCAGGCGTAATATGGATAAATATTACTACTAACTCATACACCACTTGTCAATACACTTCTTTTACACTAAAACACTAACCTTTGATGAAAATTAGCACAGATAATAATGTAGCAGCACTGAAAACCTAATTTAGATTCCGGCGAGCAGAACGCAAACAACTTGTTTTTCTAGTTACAACTAATGTTTCACCTGAATCTCAATACTGAAAGGCATCAAAACATGGAGATAGAACGTTTTCTTAGCTTCAAATAGGTATGACTCTCATCACTCTATGTCAATTATCAACATATTTATTCGTGATTTAGAAACCACGGCGTTTTGGGCAAAATAGCCTACTGACAAAATAGCTGATTTCAAAAAAATATTTTTCAGACTTCCTAACCTCATATGACAAAGTTCTATATACGAAAATAAAGAACAACTCAAGTTCTTTCCAATGGTACCAGCCACTTCCTGTTTAGGCCAAAATTACGACTTGTAAATTTATTTCAAGATAACGTGTTTTACGAGATTTTGCCGACCGCGACTCGAAAATTTTACCCGCGCAAAATATTGTTCAAGTTATAATAGGATTTATATTGATCTGTTGGTGCTACGAGGTTTGATTATATCTGAAAATAAAAGTTCAGAATATCTTCTTTCCAACGGTATCAAAATTATTACACTTCTGGATCATTTTCATTGCGTAATAAGCATTTGAAAAAAAATGTCCCAATAGCCTACTAGTCGGCGATTGGGCGCCGAGCGCACACATCAATTCGCTGACTTGGTCGGCGAAAGGCGCTCCTAGGGTTTTAAACAAACGTTAGTTATCTAGTGTTCGTATAGTAAATGTCTATTTGGCATGTAAGGTTACCACATGAGCCTCAAACACACGGTTAACACACTAAGGTTTAGCTTTCTAAGTTTGTGACTGACTTTTAAAAATTATAATTATTATTAGGGATGGACGGGATTGAATTTTTAGTTCGGGACGGGACGGGACGGGATTTTTATTTCCTTCCTGATTTTCGGGACGGGACGGGATTTTTTTCTGTGCTTAAAAAGAAAGTCTTGAGTATTGCAGTTACCAAAAAAGACATACAAAATAAATTTTTACTGTTTGTGGCACTGATCTATAAAAACCAAAAAATGGGTAACAATTTACAGGTATGGAAACTTTTATTTATTTACCTATAGAAACTTGTGACTCGCGGTCGAAATGACTGATCGTCGGTATGACTCACGGTCACGGCGCGATCGTCGGTATGACTCCGCGGTCATGGCGCGATCTTCGGTAGGACTCCGCGGTCACGGCGTGACTGTCGGTATGACTCCGCGATCGTCGGTATCACTTCGCGGTCACGGGGTGATCGTCGGTATGACTCGCGGTCACGGCATGATCGTTGGTACGACTCGCGATCACGGCACGATCGTCGGCATGACTCCGCGGTCACGGGGTGATCGTCGGTATGACTCCGCGGTCACGGGGTGATCGTAGGTATGACTCGCGATCACGGTACGATCGTCATTATGACTCGCGGTCACGGTGCGATCGTCGTTATGATTCCGTGGTGACGTCCCGATCGTCGTTATGACTCCGCGGTCACGGCGCAATCGTCGAAATGACTTCGTCTCCTGTGTTCTCGGACCTATCGCTCGCAATAGCGGCGTTATCGGCACTCGCGAAGCGGCAAAATCGCGGTCGATCGGACCAAATCCCGTCCCGAAAAATTCCCGAATCAAATGTAATCCCGTCCCGATAATCGGGAATATTTTTTTCCCGAAAAATTCCCGAAATTTCGGGACCCGTCCATCCCTAATTATTATATGTGTGAGTAATGTGCCGATTACTACCTCGTTATTGAATTGAAGTACATAGCTTGGGTTGACTGGCTGATACTAGAAAAACATATTACAGGAGCTTAAACTGTAGTTTCATTACGTTTTTATGTGAATAAATATGCTCCTCTGATAATCCGACCTTTTTTGCGTTCCGACCATGCCTTCGGTCCCATTGGTGACGGATTAGCGAGGTTTTTCTGTATTACCATTGACTAGTGCAGTATTATTGCAAACAGCTGATTTATTTATCACTTAACACAGAATATTGTCTCTAGTTAGTGACCATCTCAACAGATTGCACCACTCTTTTTTGGCTTCAAATTTTTACATTACTTTAGAAGTCTATTCGGTACTTTCCTGTTAAAGGGAACATTCATTATTATCGATGATTTTTTTTCGATGTATCGATATTTTTGTTTTCCGATCCATTACAAATTGATAACAACTAACTGATCTTGTTTAGGCTAAAACAGTCTGTTATATGGATTAAGAAATGAAACTGTTCTAAGCTAACCTAACATAACCAACCAAACTTGCTGTACCATTTACACATTCCGTTTGGGTTTTTATAATAGAAAAGGCAAGTTTAACACGGAATTTTTAAATGTTACAGCAAGTTTGGTTAGTTATGTAGGTTATATTTTTAGAACCATTTCATTTCATTATTGTTTTTTGGTACTGAACAATATTGAGTTGTCAGCTGATACCGTATGTTTCAATTTGTTAATATCGATACATCAAGAAAAAAATCATCGATAATAATGAATGTTCCCTTTAACAGGAAAGTACCGTCTATTCTCATGTCTAAATATGACACTGAAAAAACCTTTGGAAATTGTTCAATAGAGAATTTATCACAATTAAGAGATTTTTCATCTTGCATTTTAAAACACTAACACAGAATAAAGACCCATTATTTATTCTTTATTTTGTGATATCAGGCACTAATGATGATTTATCTAATTAATTCAATTACTATCCATTTTTCAGGGGGAACCAGACAATTTTCCTGCTCAACAAATGCTAGATACATCGAGAGAACGTGCCAACACATCTGTGAGTAAGCCTACTTAAGTATATTGTGTGTAGGAAAAACTAAATTAATAAAAAAATTACCTCTTGCTTATTAACTTTTGATTATAACAAATCAATTTCTAAAATTAAAATGATTTTAGCTACATATTAAATGAATAATCTCAAGTTTTCCTATGATATAAAACAATAAACTATTTCTATTTGGAATAACTCAATCAATTTAATTTTGCTTTCTAGAATATTTTACAAACTAATTTTTTTATATTTTTAGGTCGCATCTTCCTCAAAATCATCAGAGGCAGCTAGGAAAAATGAACTGAAGAAGCAAGTGCATATATCTCAGTTGAAGGTATATCTTAAGTTAGTGCTTATAGTTAATTAGCATTAAGCCTATGCCAGTTATTTTTAATTGACTCATTTTACCTACATAATTTTTGTACCTGAATCCAAATATCTATTCTCTCTCATTTTAAATCCGTTCACAAACTGTTAGTGCTCTTGATACACTAAGTCAATAGTTTTTCCTAGAAATATAACAAGTAATTTATAAAGTTATTAAAATGCTGAAAAATTTGACACTAGTTTTGAAAGCTCCGCCTTCAAATCATGTCTGTTTAAATGACAAATTTTTTTATTGAACTTGAGAATTCTTAGGAATTCTTTTGCAGTAAGTTTTGCTAAAAGCAATCTACTTTGAAAAAAAAATAACTGCAACAAACCTACAGACTAAGGGAATTTCTATTTGTGTGGTTAGATTTCACTAAAATATATCCTTGAAAATTTCAGAATTATTACTTGTTTAGTTAGCATTAGGTTTAACGAGTACTCATATTTTCTGCTCCAGGGATTGGTTAAGTGTGTTTTGTGTGCTGAAATGATTAAAACAGTTTACTTATTCTCCAAAAGAATAAAATGGAAATTTTAAATGTTTGTTTTTTGGAGGGAATTTTCTTCTTAACTGTTAATTGTACAGCATTTCTTCAATTTACTAGACTATTTGTTTCTTAACCTTCTAAAAAAATTGTTTGGGAAGAGTCTGCAAAATTTTACTTTTTGAGCGTTAAAAATTGGAATACCCCATTTTTACCCCCACAAAATCCCAATCTCATAGTCTGAACATGCTGGTTTGCAAACTCATTCAAATTAACGTAGGTATACATACACTTTTCACAGCATCTCATCAAAATTGGATGATTTGTACTCAAGTTATCGTGCTAACGGTCACATGTATAAATATAAAAATGGACAGATGGTGCTTTTGGCCTCTGGGGACTTCAAAGCAAAAAGAAAGTCAGTTTAGGTCTTACAATGAGATCTACAGAAATAGCTTATTCCTCTAAATATGGGAAATTCGCTAAAAGTTTGTTGATGTCATTATTTTGCAATTGTTTTGCCTGGTTTTATTTTATAGGGAACTAGCAGAGTTCCCCTTCGTGTGGGATTGGCATATAAGAATAAATGCTTATTGCAGTTATACTCAAGCTTTGCGTATGCAATGGGGGGAAGCACAGTTTGATCAAATTTGCTTCTTTAAATTTACGGTATATAATAGTATTACACATCTACCATAGCCATAATGTTCTGCTACTTCACCTAAACAATAGAAAAAAATAAATTATTAAATTCACAAAATAGCCTATGACAAATTATTCATGAAATTAAAAACATAAACATAACTAAACAATCCTAATTTGACAGTTCTCATTGCGTATCACAGTTTTTTGTTGCTTTTTAGTTCAAATTAGCTGTGTTCATAAATGAATAAAAAAAATACTAGTGCTGCACCCTGTTGGTAAATTTTATAACTTTTAATGCTTTTGCATATCTTAGAACCAACTTTTTAGTTGAAACAGCTGACTAAATTCTTTAATTCCTTTTAATATTAATACTCATAAGGTTAACATGGGGAAGTACAGAGCCACTGGGGCGGAGCCCGGAATGATTTTTGAGATAAGAATGTGCCTATATGTTAACCTGGAATTAGGGGTGTGCGAGTAGTGATTTTTTAGTTCGAGTCGAGTCGAGTCGAGTATTTAGTTATTTTTTCGAGTATCGAGTAATTTCGAGCGAGTAATTACGTAAGTGCTGAATTCATTCAAGCACTTAAAAACAATGTTCAAAACAACTGGTAAGTATATATATAGTTACTAGGTACCTGTTTAGTGTGATTTTACTTAATAAAAGCAATGCATTAGATCCATTTTCATAAAATAAAGTTGTCCTATACCCCCAATGTTAAGTAATAATTCTGTTTTCTTTATTTTTTTACCTGATTTTGGTATCCAATTCTATTTAGAACAGTACACATTTACGTTAACCTATTACATGACAGATTTGTGTGAACCTAACCTCACCTACATATTTTCTAAAATATATGCATTTTTAATCCTATCCATCCTACCATACCATATCAATAAGATATCTATGGAGAACTATATAGCATTAATAAAAGTACTGTAATGGATTAAATGAAATAAGAATTAAACCAGAAAATACATGTAATAAAACAATGTACACATATACATTTAATATAAATGTATTGGCCTACATTTATGTTACACACCCTTGAACACAGTTGTTTACAGTGTAAAACAGTCTTTCTTTTCATAATATCAATATCTATTATCTAGCAATCAATAACAGTGATTCATAAGGCCAAATAATAGTGACTTTAATGACAAAATAAGTTCCAGTTATTTAATATCCAGTCAATATTAGGCTTGATTGGAATATTTTGTAGGCTACCCAAAACAACATGATAAATACTGGTTGAGTAAAATTATGAAAATGAATTTGACATTAATGAAAAAAGAAAAAGAGAATATAACTCAATTTGAGTTAATAAATTTTATACACACTACAAGTACAAGTCAATATCTAAAAAGTATCCATATTGTAGTTCTTCAACACCTAAACCTTAATAGACCCTAATTAATAACATGGGACGAGAACAGAATCAATTAGCTTAACTTTGATTTGAATTGTGGTCCAGATAAATCTTAAGTTAATGCGCTAAAACCAGTAGACCAATTTCTGCAATAAGCCTTAACATTTTTAAATTGAAGAGAAAAATGAACAAAGTTGGTGTATCCTCTCAATGTAAGGTAAGTTGTTCCTAAATAAGACAGTTCATGTATTAGTAAAGAGAAATAAGATATTGTAGCCATATAGGCCTAAACAAACAACAAAGACTTGGAATCAATATTTATAGAGTCAAAACAACTTAATAAAGGCAAATATAATAGGCCTACTTTGAATTACAAAAAAAAACTAATTGCACTATTAGGAACAAGAAATAAGATATTGTAGCCATTTAGGCCTAAGCAAACAACAAAGACTTAGAATCAATAGTCATAAAGAGTCAAATAAACTTAATAATATAGGCAAATATAATGGGCCTACTTTGAATTACAAAAAAACTAATTGCACTATTAGGAACAAGAGATAAGATATTGTAGCCATTTAGGCCTAAGCAAACAACAAAGACTTAGAATCAATAATCATAAAGAGTCAAATAAACTTAATATAGGCAAATATAGGCTTTTTTTGTATCTAGTTCATGTCCAGTGACACTGGGCGCTAGTGCTGACGAAACTTGATTTTAATGATTCTAGGGTTAAGGTTTATTATTTGTGCTTTACTGTTTAGGGGATGAGTTATTGTTGATGATTAGATAGTTTTATTTGGTTAAACGAGGTTTTAAATGACAAATATAAGAAGAAACAAATTGTAAACCAAACACAACCTCTACAGTGCACCGGACAGAACTAACAATACAGTACCATTTTCTTCAGCTGATCCATAAACAGGTATAATGAATGTCCTTTATAACAAATCGCGTCACAAAAATAACCAACTTTTTTGTCCTTGGAAAAAACCACTGAGCTATAATTCTAACTGGAGGTAGCACTGAATGTCAAAGATGCGTGTCGCCAGCCGCCATGTTTGCGTGAGGTGTGAGTTATAAGAAGCCATGTTATTGGATAAGAAAACTCACTTCTATACCAACCTAGTTATAGAAGCCATGTTATTGGATAAAAAAACTCACTGCTATACCAACCTAACAAAATCAGCGACACGCTTTTGACAGACTTCTGCCATGGCAGTGCTACCTCCAGTTATATTTTTAGCTCAGTGGATAAAACCAAGCGTCGTCACTCTTCTGTAGTTTTGCATTTCGTCGTCTGTTCTCCATGTCATGACGTTTTCAATGAAAAAGTAGTTCCTTAAGTATAATACACTTTATGAGTTTTTAATCAATTTTTGATAAAGTAAAAGTGGTTTAAAATTAAGTTATTTCAAGAGTAATTAATAAACTAAACTAAAAATGGGTACTTACCTTGAAAATTGAATAATTCTATGTGTGTAGGATTTGTAGCCGTATCTAGTCATCTTCTTCCGTGAATCGCAATGCGTTAGACGTTAGACCTTCAGTATCAGTATCAATTGTTGATGAATAGGTGAATGACGAAAAGGGGTTAGGAATAAAACTCCATAAAGATAATGTGTTATTTTCTTACTAATATTGGTACGAAAATCTGTTTAATATAAAAACAAAATGCAGTTTGTATACTCCTTCTCCAAAACTATTACTACTCGATTAAAACTCGAGTAGTTTTAAAAGCATCGAGCCGAGTTCGAGTAGTTTACTACTCGAATAACTACTCGAACGTTTCGAGTACTCGCACACCCCTACCTGGAATATGAGCTATCATCATGCCAAATTTCAGCCCAATCCGTCCAGTAGTTAATGCATGATTGAGCAACACACACACAAAGGCACAAACTCACAAACTTCCAGATTTATAATATTAGTAAGATAATATTTTTTATTAAACATAAGAATTTGTTTCAACTAATAGTTGTGGTTATTCATTAATAGCTACAAGAACTGCAAGAGCAACAAGCCGCTTTGAAGGCGTTGAAGCAGAAGGCTCAGGAACAGCTGAATGAAGCCCGGGCCGCACAAGTAAGTAAAACTTTTCAAGTTTATTCGATTAATTATGCTGGAATTTACTCACAACAAGTTCTAAGTTTCTGTTTGCAAGACAATAAATTGTAATCTTATTTTCATAGCCAAGAATGTAAAAATCAAACATTTTAGTAACCAAAACATTTAGTTGTTGGATAAGGATTAATCAAATGTTTATCGTTTTATTCAATTTATAATTTGGTATCTACAATATAGTATTGTTCGTAAAACAATCATCAAAACTTTGACATGTTTGCCCTTACAAGCTTAACTTTTAATTTATAGCTAAAAGCCTTGTTGATGACAAAGTTTTAACTACATTATTAACAAGCTGTATACTGTATTGGCATGTGACTGTATGTGTTGACAGGGAGCTCTGATGGCAGCCCACGGCACCTCACAGGCGGCCACCAACACTGACAACATGATACAGGAGAGACTGCAGAATCTGCAGCGCTTCTTTGACGCCAGGCATCAGGTAAACATCGGCAGTAATAGCCAGTATAGATGAGTTGACAGTGGGGATTGGCAAGGGTTTAGTTCAACAAATTGTACCACATAATAAACAATTTTACAAAGATCTATCAGATGTAACTTACAAAGATCTATGAGATGTACCAGTGACTTTAAAATAAAATAACACACAAAATACAACAGAAGAGCAAATATAACAAATTTTTGATTTTTTTAAAGAACGCCAAATTGAAAAAATCTAACATACAAAAGGTGTTATTCAGTTTATAGCAGTTAACAAAATTTGATTAATGTCAGTGCAACGATCAGACATTCTAACTACCCCCGCCGCAGCAAACCTGCAGACTAAGCGAATTTTAACTTGTTTAATTAAATTTTAACTCAAATATTTCCATAAATAAGACATAAAATTTATTCCCAATTTAAATAACATTAGATTTAACGAGTGCTTAGGATTGCTGCTACGGGGAAGGTAAAAATTGTTTTTTGACCATACATAAATACTATAGGATGAAATAAATAAATTTGCCTAATTTTATCTATAGGCCTATATATCTATAAACAAGTAAACTACAACATTTTTAATTTTCTCCATAAGAATAACATGAGAATTTTTAAATTACACTATTTTTGAATTTTCTCCGTGACCGTTAGGCGTACAACAGCGCTTCAATATACTGAATTAATTCTTTATTTAAGCTTGTAATGGGTCAAAATTATAGAGGGGTTAAGGTTTTATATTTATTATTTAATTATCGGTAGGCCTATACCTTACCTGGTTGGTGACAGTGGTAAACCTATCATGGTAAGGTAAATAGGCTGTTCTAGGCCTATCCTAGGGTTGAAGTAGGGATAACCTCACTTTTGGCAAAATCACTAAAGACACTATTTTTGAGATTCACAAGTCACAGTATTGCATCGTTGTGTACAAAACGAGTGATAAACCGTTTCCGTGTAACCCCCATGCCTAATATACACCTTTGGGAAGTACGGTCAAAGTTGTTGGTTAGGCTAGGGTGGTGAACCGCGATCACCAATACAATATCACTACATAACATGCATACACTTTGTCGCACACTAAGCTACACGTCACGGGTGGAAATTATACTTTTTGTTTAAACCAGAGACGATATTAAAGTTCCGCAGTATAATTTCACAGTCGGCGCAGGTGAATAACAACAGTAACAACATAACCTGTACCACTAGTCGGCTGTCTTGGCATTGTGTTGTGACAGCGCCAATTTTGAACTCGTGACGTCACCGATCAGCTGGGAAGTGAATCAGCTGATTCCCCATCCCTAAGGGGTTAGGGAGGGGGAAGTAGGGAAGATCCCTTGTGGGCTAGGGATGCGACGACATTCTAATTCTGCGATTTCCAGTGTTAGGACGTGTCTTGCTTTGAAAGAGTGATTGCTTTAGTGATTTTGCTAAACGTGTGCTTTAGTGTGTCAGTGAAGATCCCTGGAGTATACAGGTAATTCGCCGGCTTTATCTTAATAGTGTGTACTATTATTTTTTATTATTTAGCGATAAACCCTCATTTTATCCTTTTAGACATAAAACTCACGGTAGGATCTTTGTCGGGTGTTAGAACTTGTATAAGTCCGCTTTAGCGTATGCTAGGGCTCCCGTGGGTGGCAATAAAGAGTTTTAGGGATACAAATTTCGTTTAATATTGTGTTTACAATATATATTGAGGGTGACGGGGTTATAGCGGGTATTTTGCCGGGATATTCAGTAGGTGTTTAACTGCTGCGGCAAAGCGGGCAAAGTTGAACCCGTCTCTGCAGGTCGTGCAAACACGAGGTCGGGTGGAGCACGCTAAGTATATTCAGAAGAAATATTCTAAGTGTTGAGGTTGACGAAACTGCAACATTAAATTGTTTCAAAATTTCGTTGAATGGTTTTTCATTATTTTTAAATTTAATTTAATTAGCTGTTCCCAGGTGTGAACGATGATGATGGTACAGTAGCGTTGTTGGTTACCGGTACTGAGTTCACACCTGATTCACACTACATTTTTGCGTAAATACAAATCTGTACCTGTGCTAGTTTGTTGAGTTAATTAAATAAATTATTTTTATCTGAACCCTGGAAACTTCCCAGCACGCCGACTTGAGCGATCCGCTGGCGAGAGTTGGTGACGTCTTTCCCGCTTTAACTACGGAATAGCGCATATATTCCGAGCGGGAAAAACGGCACGTTACATTGGCGCCCGAACGAGTAGACATTTTTTGATTGATTTGGACTTAGTTTTACTGGAGTTGTATTTTAATGTTAGTTAGCATATACCTAGTGTATTCTAACTCTAGTTTGAGCTGGTTTATATCAGTTGGAGGGAACTATAGCGCTTGTTTTTAGGCTAACTAACGACCAAGTAAAACTAGTTAACGACCAATTATTATTTAAAATTGTGGTTGTGAATTTATTTAGCCCACGTAGCATAGCCAATTTTGGCCGATACTTTTGTGCTAGTCTTAGCAACCAGTTATTGTCAGTTGTATATATTTTATTTATTGAACCTGCATTTACTGTTGTGGGGTGTATAGTATAATTTTAGTTTTTTTTTTTATTTCGGTGTTGATTTGATAATTTAGTACTTGCTTTATTATTCTTTTAAATAGCTTGTTGGGACTTAGGCATTTTATTTAACTGTTATAACTGGTGATAAGGGTTTAAGTGTGATAACACCTATACATAGACGTGGGCAAATTTAATTTTTTTTTAAATTTAATATTTTTTTTATTTTATTTTTGACTTTATCTGATTAGGCCCGCGTTACGGTCATGCCGAATACCACTGAGGTTGAGTCGTCGGTTGCTCAAACCGTTACCACGGTACCGGTAGTAGTGACAACTTGCGCTGGGACCTTTACGGTGACTACCAGTAGTACTGCGAACCCTCTCAATGTCTCGCGGGATGTAATACCCCCTGCGACTCTAGGGGCGATCCCAAGGGCAAACCCGACAATTTTGGGTGAAGGCTTGAGGTCTCCGTACGATGATCCTCGCGTGGGATGGATCCACGAATTGCGTAAAGAGGACCTCACACGTGAGATGGAGAGGTTTGGACTAGACACACGAGGGAAGGTGGAAGATCTGAGGAGAAGGTTTTGCCAGTTCTGGAAGGACCCTAAGAGTCAGTGGCCTTTCTTGTCTCAGGCTGGTATGATTAACCAAGCCCAACAGCCTACATGGGTGACGGCTACGGGCCATGAACCTGGTTACATGCCTGAGAGTGCTTCTGGGGGTGATCAACGTCCTCCCTCCTTCCCAGGCGAGAATGTGGGGTCGGACGCCAAACATGTTGTTGCGGATAGTGTTTGTGAAATGCTGGGGCTTCCGCCTGGCACTGACGTGGACACAGTTAGGCAGACTTTGGCCGTGGTGTTGAGAACCGCGTCAGAACCAAAGACGTCAAGCGCAGACGGTTTACGTAAGGAGACTGGCCCATTTAATTTGACCGGTAGCCTTGTCACCTTTAGTGACGGATTCCAGCGGCCTATAACGACCGAAATTCAGCCTGAACCCGTATCCTCTGCAACCGGGGTGTCTTCGGCTAGAGTAGGTCTTCAGCCCTGTCTTGGGGGCGTGGCGCAGCCCTCGTGGGGTGACTCAATTTTGAGAACCCGGTCAGATGCTCGTCCTTACCTACAGCCGGGCAACTATACGCCGTATACAGATGGGCTACCTAGGCCGGTGGGAGAAAACAACTTCCGTGATAGACCGAGTACTGCGCCTTGGTTTTCTGGACAGCCAAGTGGTGATACGGTTAGGCGAAATAGAGAGTTAACTTTGCCTACGACTTCTACCTATTATCAACCGATGCTTGACAAGCGTAGTCGCGAGTTCACTTCGATTTGTGATTCTGTGCGGAAGTGGAATTTGCGATTCGATGGGAGAAGAGATCCCGTCTCGTTTGTTGAGCGGCTTGGTGAACTGATAGAAACCTACTCCTTGAGCGATGAGGAGGTGTTAAGAGCAATGCCAGAGCTGCTTCAAGGGGAAGCTCTGTTATGGTATCGGAACCAGAGGAGTTTTTGGGTTGGTTTCGCTGATTTTCTGGCTGATTTTGAAACCCAGTTTTATCCTCCCGGATACCGACGCTACCTTGACGAGGAAATTCGCAAGCGTACACAGGGTGATAACGAGTCATTTCGCTGTTATCTCACAGCGATATCAACCCTGATTCGGCGCAGTGGTGAATTCTCTGCTCAGCAGAAGTTAAACCTGGTCTATACGAATATGAAACCCGATTATAAACTTATGGTACGGCGTAGTGACTTTGCTACAATACCAGAGTTGACTCGGAGGGCCGAGGAATATGAGGCTTACTTGAGGGATCGAAGTACTTTTCGGCCTCCCCCTCCTCCGTCTCTAGCTCTTGTTCCGGAAACGGCTTATGTGTCAAAGCGTAGGATGGAGCGGGTGTTTGACCACGCTGCGGTTAAACCCATGCTAACCGAGGGTGTCGATGCTTGCGCTAAGGGGGAAACGATAGCTACTTCCGGTCCTGCGGTAAATAATGTAGATTGTGCCGGTCTTGAAACTCGGCGGGGTGTTCAACCCAGAACAATGCCGGAGTTGAATAGATGTGCGCCCAGCGGCGAGAACCTGAGGCCCGTGCTTAGCGCTGAAAGGAGCGGGTTGGTGTGCTGGAATTGTGATCAGCGTGGCCACCGCTTCAGGCATTGCCCAAAACCTAAGAGGGTACGTTGCTATTTTTGCAAGACGGAGGGTGTTACCATGTACCGGTGCGGATGTCGTGCGGGAAACGGTGTCCGGACTCAGAGCCCCAGAGGTCAGCCGAGTCCGGGGCAGCAATACGACACACGACCTCCCACGAATGGCATCGGTGGCTCGAATATGTGAAGGGTTTCACGGGAGCCGTGGAAGGTGTCGACCGGGGTGACGTTAGACCCTTTGTGGAGGTTGAATTGTTTGGCGAAACCTTCCGAGCACTGATCGACACTGGGGCTAGTGTCAATCTTATAGGGTCACGAATTCAGAAACTCCTTGTCGACAGGGGTGTGAACCCCACCACCGTCAGTGTAGTAATGAGAATGGCTGATGGTTCGAGCCGTGAAGCGGGATCCTTGTACCAGCTTTCAGGCCGGGTGGGCGAACAAGCCCATACCTGGGAGGCGTATTATGTCCCAAATTTGACGTGCGATCTGATTCTGGGCATGAGGTGTTTAGAGGAGCTTAACCTGATCTGCGTTGATCAAGGGTGATTTTGCCTACTGAGGTCATGGGGACGGGTGATAATAACCTCAGCGCGATTGACGCTCTTGCACCAGAGGAGGAACAGAAACTGGCAGAGTTCCTGAGAGTCGAGTTGCCAAAATTTGAGGCAGTTCCGGGACTGACTTCGCTAGTTGAGCACAAAATTCGGCTCAAAGAGGGTGCAGTGCCCATTAAACAGCGGTATTACCCGCGTAACCCCGCCATGCAAGCCATAATTGACCAAGAGGTTGACGATATGCTGCGGCAAGGGGTGATAGAGCCTTCCACGAGTCCTTGGAGCTCACCGGTGGTGTTGATTAAGAAAACATCCGGCACCTACCGATTTTGTATTGACATGCGATCGGTAAATGACTCGTCAGTTAAGGATGCGTATCCTTTACCCCGGATCAATGGAATCCTGGAAAAGTTACGCCAAGCCAAGTACAGCAGTTGAAAGCCGGGCGATAACCGCGTTTACGGTTCCCGGCCGAGGGCTGTACCAGTTTACCGTTATGCCCTTTGGATTACACTCAGCCGGTGCGACGTTTCAGAGGTTGCTCGATATGGTTATAGGTGTTGAACTAGAACCTAAGGTCTTTGCATACCTTGACGACTTGGTAGTGGTGTCGACGACCTTTGCGGAGCACCTCGAACTTCTGAAACTAGTATTTGACCGACTTTGTGCTGCTGGCTTGAAGTTGAACCCCGAAAAATGCCACTTCTGCAAACGCCAGTTAAAGTATCTTGGACACTTGGTAAATTTTGAGGGGATAACCACTGACCCTGAGAAGGTCCAGTCGATTAGTGAGTTCCCGATACCTACCAATATCAAGAAGCTGCGTAGTTTCTTGGGTCTGGCGTCCTGGTATCGGCGCTTTATTGAAGGCTTTGCGACGGTGTCGGCGCCTCTACGACATTTACTTAAGAAAAGCGCAAAGTGGCAATGGGGTGATGCGCAAGAGTCTGCGTTTCGGAAGTTGAAGGAGCTTTTGTGCTCTTCTCCTGTATTGGCCTGCCCCGACTTCAGTAAAACCTTCACGGTGCAGGTTGACGCCTCGAATGTGGGGCTGGGTGCCGCCTTAACCCAGGAAGTTGAGGGCAAGGAGGTGGTGATCGCGTATGCGAGCCGTCTGCTGACTGACCAGGAATCCAAGTACTCTACCACAGAGAAGGAGTGTCTTGCCTTGGTCTGGGCAGTCAGAAAGTTTAAACCCTACTTGGAAGGCTACCACTTTGTGGCGATTACAGATCATGTTGCTCTCAGCTGGCTCATGAAACTACGTGAACCGAGCGGTAGATTAGCTCGGTGGGTCATGGAGCTCCAGCAACATGATTTTGAAATCAAGTACCGCAAAGGCACGTTAAACAGGGTAGCCGACGCCTTATCCAGGTATCCAGTGGGCCTGGGGCCAAGTGATTTGGGTGACGAAGCCTGTCTTGACCCAACGGGGGTGGCTGCCGTGGAAGGTAGTGAGCTGTCGAGGGTGACAAGCCATCAGTGGACTCTATGCCGTCAGGTGATGAAACTGGCGCGTCTACACTCGTTCCTGGTGATAATGAACCGGACGAGGAGTTTATTAAAGATCGATGGTACGAACGTATGTTCGCATTGGTGACCAACCGGCCCGGTAGGTTTAAGAATTACTGTGTTAGGGCTGGGCAGTTATACCGCTCGTTTGGCAATGCAGAAAACCCAGTCTGGAAGATGTGTGTTCCCCCTGACCGGGTGCGAGCTGTCTTAGAAGAGAACCACGATTTACCGACGGCAGGGCATCTGGGTGTTAAGAAGTCGATGGCCCGGGTGGCCGTTCGGTATTACTGGCCGGGTTGGAGGGGAGATGTAAAACTCTATGTCCTGAGTTGTCCTCAATGCCAAACCTACAAGGTGGTACAAACGAAACCCGCCGGTAAAATGTATTTCCGACGCCCAAAGGGTCCCTGGTCAACAATTTCTGTGGATCTCATCAGGTAAACATCGGCAGTAATAGCCAGTATAGATGAGTTGACAGTGGGGATTGGCAAGGGTTTAGTTCAACAAATTGTACCACATAATAAACAATTTTACAAAGATCTATCAGATGTAACTTACAAAGATCTATGAGATGTACCAGTGACTTTAAAATAAAATAACACACAAAATACAACAGAAGAGCAAATATAACAAATTTTTGATTTTTTTAAAGAACGCCAAATTGAAAAAATCTAACATACAAAAGGTGTTATTCAGTTTATAGCAGTTAACAAAATTTGATTAATGTCAGTGCAACGATCAGACATTCTAACTACCCCCGCCGCAGCAAACCTGCAGACTAAGCGAATTTTAACTTGTTTAATTAAATTTTAACTCAAATATTTCCATAAATAAGACATAAAATTTATTCCCAATTTAAATAACATTAGATTTAACGAGTGCTTAGGATTGCTGCTACGGGGAAGGTAAAAATTGTTTTTTGACCATACATAAATACTATAGGATGAAATAAATAAATTTGCCTAATTTTATCTATAGGCCTATATATCTATAAACAAGTAAACTACAACATTTTTAATTTTCTCCATAAGAATAACATGAGAATTTTTAAATTACACTATTTTTGAATTTTCTCCGTGACCGTTAGGCGTACAACAGCGCTTCAATATACTGAATTAATTCTTTATTTAAGCTTGTAATGGGTCAAAATTATAGAGGGGTTAAGGTTTTATATTTATTATTTAATTATCGGTAGGCCTATACCTTACCTGGTTGGTGACAGTGGTAAACCTATCATGGTAAGGTAAATAGGCTGTTCTAGGCCTATCCTAGGGTTGAAGTAGGGATAACCTCACTTTTGGCAAAATCACTAAAGACACTATTTTTGAGATTCACAAGTCACAGTATTGCATCGTTGTGTACAAAACGAGTGATAAACCGTTTCCGTGTAACCCCCATGCCTAATATACACCTTTGGGAAGTACGGTCAAAGTTGTTGGTTAGGCTAGGGTGGTGAACCGCGATCACCAATACAATATCACTACATAACATGCATACACTTTGTCGCACACTAAGCTACACGTCACGGGTGGAAATTATACTTTTTGTTTAAACCAGAGACGATATTAAAGTTCCGCAGTATAATTTCACAGTCGGCGCAGGTGAATAACAACAGTAACAACATAACCTGTACCACTAGTCGGCTGTCTTGGCATTGTGTTGTGACAGCGCCAATTTTGAACTCGTGACGTCACCGATCAGCTGGGAAGTGAATCAGCTGATTCCCCATCCCTAAGGGGTTAGGGAGGGGGAAGTAGGGAAGATCCCTTGTGGGCTAGGGATGCGACGACATTCTAATTCTGCGATTTCCAGTGTTAGGACGTGTCTTGCTTTGAAAGAGTGATTGCTTTAGTGATTTTGCTAAACGTGTGCTTTAGTGTGTCAGTGAAGATCCCTGGAGTATACAGGTAATTCGCCGGCTTTATCTTAATAGTGTGTACTATTATTTTTTATTATTTAGCGATAAACCCTCATTTTATCCTTTTAGACATAAAACTCACGGTAGGATCTTTGTCGGGTGTTAGAACTTGTATAAGTCCGCTTTAGCGTATGCTAGGGCTCCCGTGGGTGGCAATAAAGAGTTTTAGGGATACAAATTTCGTTTAATATTGTGTTTACAATATATATTGAGGGTGACGGGGTTATAGCGGGTATTTTGCCGGGATATTCAGTAGGTGTTTAACTGCTGCGGCAAAGCGGGCAAAGTTGAACCCGTCTCTGCAGGTCGTGCAAACACGAGGTCGGGTGGAGCACGCTAAGTATATTCAGAAGAAATATTCTAAGTGTTGAGGTTGACGAAACTGCAACATTAAATTGTTTCAAAATTTCGTTGAATGGTTTTTCATTATTTTTAAATTTAATTTAATTAGCTGTTCCCAGGTGTGAACGATGATGATGGTACAGTAGCGTTGTTGGTTACCGGTACTGAGTTCACACCTGATTCACACTACATTTTTGCGTAAATACAAATCTGTACCTGTGCTAGGTTGTTGAGTTAATTAAATAAATTATTTTTATCTGAACCCTGGAAACTTCCCAGCACGCCGACTTGAGCGATCCGCTGGCGAGAGTTGGTGACGTCTTTCCCGCTTTAACTACGGAATAGCGCATATATTCCGAGCGGGAAAAACGGCACGTTACAAGCTCTACAAAACGGTTTAAAAGAAATTGCAAATTTTTTTGTTTATAGGGTCAAAAATGGGGAAACCCACCCCATAAAACCCCCCATAAACCCCCGTTCTCATGGTCCGATCATGCTGGTTCGCAAACTCGTTCAAATAAACGTAGGTATAAGCAGATTGTTATTGTGCATTGTATTGCAGATTGTTATTGTGCATTGTATTGCAGATTGTTATTGTGCATTGTATTGCAGATTGTTATTGTGCATTGTATTGCAGATTGTTATTGTGCATTGTATTGCAGATTGTGCAGATTGCCGGCTTGGAGGACGAGGAAGCAGACACGTCAGAGGTACAGAACAAACTGGACGAGTTACAAGCCAAGAAACACAACATGGACCAACTGTTGGCTCAGTTCTCCAATCTGCACACTAATGTGGCCAACAACGTTGCTGGTAAGTCACTTTATATCTTGTGACACGTAAGCTGGCACTTGACCGATCGCTATTAGCCTAATTCTAAAACATTATGTGGCGTCATGCGGGTTGCATCAACTGTCCTCGCGACTCAACCCCATCAGTCAGCAAAAAGTTTGCAGTCTGGTCTTTTCCTTACCTTAACCCTCGTTCTGCCTACACAGCCCGCGTGTACAAGGTGGCACCTGCATGCCTACTGCCATGGTAATAACAGTAGTAACAAACATGTAAACATAAGCTCCATTATAAATTAGTGCTACAGCTGTTTCGGTTTGTCGGGACAGCGGTGTTGCCACTTTTGTCTTGCCGCGGCCTTGTGCTAGAATGGGCTATGGTCACGCTCATCTGTATCTCAGGGTGTAGGACAGTTGGTAGTGCATGTTTTTAAGAAGTCCTCTCTTACTACTCTATAAAAATAATGAGAATTTTTATTTTGTGTTTCTTTGTGCTTTTTTTTTTGGTTCTTCATTAATATAGGGCTGAGTTAGTAATTTAATTTATACCTAAGTATAGAATTGTTTGTCCACGCAGATGAACTTAGTCCTGATGAATGTGAAAGAGACGTGCAGAATAAAATGGCAGAGTTGAATGCCATGAGGGAGTTTCTCTCTACGTTGCAGAACAGTGCTTCTCAACTGAGACCTGCCTCTCCCCAGGTGAGCTTGGTACACATTGCGCTTATGTCAAATACGTCCTCAAATGGACACTTTTAAGGTTGAATCTCATTAATTCAAATTATCAGAACTTTGTGAATTATTCTTAAAACATTTTATTAATTTTTTTGGTAGGCTACTGCTGATTTTTAGTAAAAAATATAAGGCATGTTTTAGGGAACAAAAGTAGTATTTGTAAAAATTTGCAATTTTATAAACAAAATCTCTATCAGAGTAGTAAGACTAATATTTCATTCATAGTCTTTTTTACATTCCAGGAAAGAGTTGTGAAAAAAGACTCTCGTGGAGGATCTGTGGAGAAGTCCAACACACCTACAAATCAAACTCTACATGTAAAAACTCAGTGAGTATTGATTACTTGATTGAAATCAAATTGTTTATTAGTTATGTGCGTTCTACATCAAATCATGGCATTCCAATGTATCAGCCTACATATTATTGTACAACAAGGCATGATAAATCAATTGATAACTGCAATGACTACCAAAAGGTCAGTCTATTTTAAAACATGGGTCTTTTGTCATGGAGACTTTGTACAGGCTTCATAGTCAAAGAAATTGTCATCAGCTTTCAGATACTATATATAACATCATGCCCGGTTTATTACTCTGCGGTTTGGACCTAACCTTATGCAATACACCCTTTTTTACATAAAAGTATAAATCTGATAGGTACAGTATGTCTTTGTTAGTATCATTGACCACCTTTAAAAAAATCTCAATATGTTATATTACTCTGTTTTGTTTAAGTAACGTTTTAGTAGAAGAACCGTTTTCTATGAACATCCAAAAAATATCAAATCAAAATAGTGTATAATTAAAGAGAAATCCAGGAGGAATTTAATATCTGTCCAGAATGTAATCATAAATAATATTTACTGATGTTTTTTGTGTTGAGTGTTTGATCCTTGTTATGTTATCAAAATTTAGGCCTAGGCCTTGTTTTTTCCAAATAAATTTACACCCTATTACTTAAGTTGTTTTTAGTAGATATTTATCAAAGAGAGCTAAATAATAACAATGAGGGGGATACTATACTATAATTCCTAGTCAGTACACTTTTAAAACCTCGAAATTCTGAATACTTAATGTAGGCCCTAATGATGGTTTTAAAATGGCTGCAATTCGTAGACAACTTAATGAGGCAAAGGCGAGGCTTCAGCAGCTGCAGAACCTGTTGCACACGGTAGAAGAGTTACGCAGCAATGGTCAGCCCATACCTGAATCTGTGCTGCGGCTAATGAATGGCTCAGAACACAGCTCCAGTCCTACGCAGCAAGACAGGTACAAACACAAGTTTAGTTGTTTCTCCATTACAAGTGTAGTGTTAAGTAGAAGAGCTACGCAGCAATGGTCAGCCTATACCTGAATCTGTGCTGCGGCTAATGAATGGCTCAGAACACAGCTCCAGTCCTACGCAGCAAGACAGGTACAAACAGAAGTTTAGTTGTTTCTCCATTACAAGTGTAGTGTTAAGTAGACAGATTAATTCACTAGAAAAAAAAGAATTGTTTTTATCGTGCCAATGCATTCTTCTACACTTAATATGAGTGAAAGTATACACTTGTTCACTTGTTCTTCAGTGTATTGATTGATATTCTTATCCATATTTGTATGAAACTAACTCCTGAAATTCCTCCAAATGCAACAGTTTTTTCACAAATTTCTTTACCAATTTTAACTTTATAATCGGTTCATGATTATGAAGAATTGATTGTATTTGTGGATGTCTTCATAGTGTTGGTATTTTACTGTCAGTCATTTCAATCAATTGACCGATTTGTATATGTTTGTTTTCCAACTGTCAGTAAATTTTTTCTCTGGATTAGACTTGCTGTATCATACTCGTTCTGTAACCAGGTATCCGTTGCTGTCAAACATGCAATAGTTATCAGTTCTTTTTAAGTTAGTAGTAGATTATTAATTTAATTTAACCACAAGCTGATGCTACAATCTAGGTCGGATATGTCGTCACAAGATCTGAATGTATCTCAAGGCCCAAGCGATCGACTGGTCAACTCCAGTGAGCGTGCTGAGATGTTTGAGCGTAGTTGTCGCTCACTCAACTCCTGCGAGCGAGAGAGAGTCAAACAGCAGCCGGCCAACACTGTCAAACATAACAACCAAGAGGTAACAATTTAATTGAAATGTGGTTTTCTACCTGAAAAAGTGTTTATGAAAACAAATATTAATTTGATAATCCATATTTATTATTTCATTTAATAAGGTAGGGCCTATGTAACAAATTTAAACATTGGAAATCATATATGAGTGTAAAAATTCATTTTAAAATGTTAGATATTGATTCCGTACACGTTGCTTTGACTGCCTCCAAACTAAGCTAGATTACGACTCGGGTATCATCTTGTGGCTTACAGATGGATAGAATATCTACAACTGTGGTTAGACCTCTCTTTATCCACTAAATTCTTTTATACTCCTACGGCAAGTTGACCTAACTCAGTAGGTGATTGTTTTAACCTGAAACCATGCAGTTAACATATTTTTCAAACTAAACTGTATTTAATTTAAAGCTTGGTTCTAGCTTCAAATTATTGAACTATCGAATTTTAGAATTTTTTTGTGTTTTAGGGAAAAGTTGGGATGAAAATTCAGCTCGAAGAACTCATCAGAAACCAAGATCTTAGTTTACCTCAACCATTGCAAAGTGCGTAAGATTGAAATTTATTATTATTTATTATTACAGTATCTAATTTAAAAGCTACTGTTTTAAGGAACAAACTTTAATTTGCAGCCCCCTGTTTTTTAGAAGTTAAATGTTATAATCTCTCTGTTTATTGCACACCATTGTTAATGCATGCTAGCATGCACATCTTCCGTTCTGAATATCATCTAGGCCATTGAATACATCTCAATCCTCTCATAGCTCTCCACAATTCCTCTTCTTCTGCCATCTGCCATTTCATTCTTCTTTTTCACATCGTTTCATTTCTCTCCACATTATCCTTCCATCTTCTTCTAGGCCCTTTGTCTCTGTCTTCTTCCCTCGATCACTATTATTTCCATTATCCTAATAATCCTCGATCTTTTTGCATGTCCCAATAAACCTAGTTTTGATTTTTCTGCTCTCCATTTGATTTGTCTTCAACAATATTTCTTCTGATCTCTAAACAAAAATATAGCAAATTTGGCACTTAATTTTCTTTGCCACTTTTTAATGCGTTTGTTACCTAAAAAATAATGATAATAAGACAATAGCTATATGGTAACTATTTGACATTTTTCATACATTTATGACAGCTATGTCTTGTGATATTCAGGTTCCAGTTTCCAAGAGCCCGGCAACGGCACCACTATCGGCACTTGGGGAGGTTCCACACAAAGCACCTTGGACGAGGGATACAACCCCGACTACTCTGGGTGAGGTGTAGTTTTGAAAGTATTGTGTATGATGTTTAAGTTTGTAAATGTTGTAAGAAGACGTAACACTTCTATCTTCCTCAGGAGTAACAAACAATATCTTATAATGGTTTTTGGAATGCTTGATAACTAGCTGTAGCTTTTAATGTGAATGTTGAGTCAACGGTATTTTAATCAAACAGTGTTAAATTTCATATACGCTATTATTGATTGGTTGGTTTTGGATAAAACTTTATTTGATTTTCCAAAAGTAAAAATGTATATTTACTAAATAGTAAATATACAGTTCTCTATTCTCCTTTGTGCATCTTCACTTCTGTTATTAAATCTGAACAGTCAAGAATTGATTGTAATTGTAAGCAATCCAAATTCAATCATTGACTATTTTCATTCATAGTTAGTCGGACACTCCCCATCACAGCTACGTAATGGTTTGATGATTTGACTGGGACGGTGGCGTCGTCCTGTAATCCAGCTACTAGGAGGTCACGAACTGTGGATATTTACAGGCATGCACTGTGGATGCGATGCTCCCTGGTGTGGATTAACGTCCGCACTAGTGAGTACTACGACTATCCGCAATACTATCCTGATAATTAGATCAATTTGTTAATTACAAGGGAAAAAATGTGGTTCGGATTCCACTATAAAGTGTAGGTCCCTTTGTTGCCATTGACTATATGGGCTATTAATTAACAGCTGTGTCTAAGGAACATGTCAGCCTTAGTCAGTAACAAGACTACAAGATCGTGCCACTCATCTTTCACTCATATTTGGGTTAAAATACACACATAGTGGCGTCTCCATCTTAAATAATTGATTGATTGATAGATTGATGTCAGTCATATCCCATTTCAATCCCGTTTGGTTATTTCAACACACCACAGTGCATAATCGGCATCATAAAAAATTATGAAGACAAGAAATATCTTGTGGAGAAAACTTTATGATAAAAAACATTTGAAAACTCTACAGACCCACCTTCATGTGGTCACAGTTATTAAGTTTATTTCAATAGGCTTCAAGATTGTTGTGTTAATAAAATGCTGTCGTCTCACAATCTAACTTTAATATCAAACCTGTATTACAGAGACATGACAGAGACAACCAGTGTGAAGAATGCTCCCAGCTGTAGACAACCTCACAACATGTGGCGGAAACCTTCCTCAGGTTAGCACCGTCTTGTCCCTACTTGTATTGGAAAGTATATAACTTTGAAATGTAGCCTTATAGTGTGCTTGTTAGAGTATATTAAGCACTTGATCTGTTCAATGTATTAGGTTCAATTAATATTAATAATTTGTTAAACCCGAAAACTAAAACTATATAAAAACAGAGATAAACGCAGAAACTTTGGGTTTTTTTTCAACAAGGAGAACTCCATGAATTACAATAGAAGTTTCAGTCTCAAATTTGTATTAAATTAATTTAAAAATTCGCAAGTTGCAACAATGATGCACCTATTGACTTAGCTTTAAGTTTTAAATTTTAATGCAAATATTTTACAATAGTATGTCAATTTGCTGAGTATTTAAATGTCCGCTAAAAACTGACTTGAATTTCATAGAGTAGCTTCCCTATGCCCCAGCCAAAGATGTATCAATCTCAAATTGTTCTCTTTCACAGAAATCCTTGATTTGATGTATATTCCACACACAGGCCTCAGTTTTCATGTTTAAGGGAATATCCAAAATTAAAAGAACTTTTTAAAAAACACTATATAGCGTATCAACATTTTTTATCAATATATATTTTTAAATCTGTTTCCTATGTTGGATTGAAACTAATTGTTTGTTGTAGTGTAACAAAATATTTTACTATTACTAGTTTAGTATTACTAATTAATGTAATGTTGAACTGTTAGGCAGTGCGTCAAGGTACAGCTGGTCCACGCCCTATGTGCCACAGGAGGTGAGGAGGGGAGGGGAGAGAGGGGACAATGTACCAACTGCTGACATCCCTCCTCAACCTGACACTCACTGGGTCGTTCAGCAGATCAGTCAGGTATCTTGCACAACTTACTTACTTACTCCTAGATATGAGTAGATAATTGGCCGCACCACAGACAAGTAAAGATACAGAGGATACATTGAATGTTACACTTAAGTCGAGTCTAGCACCAGTCGCTTGTGTCTAGTGAAAATTCTATTGGTCGTCCCCCTTCACCGTGGGCCTGTGCGCCACAACTGCTGTTGCAAACAATAGCTGTTCGGGCGCTTCCTGGCTCGGTACTAGTGTAATCCCCCCCCCCTTCATTCCAGAGCTAAAGCATTTTTCCTCTGTATCTTACTTCTCTGTTGCCGCACAAACAAAGCTTTGCCTCTCTCCATCTCCTGAATCTTCCTCAGTTGCCGCTTTTGAACTGTAAAATAAAGAGGATAGCAGCTAGCTTACCTTTAAGAAATACAGGTTGGCCATAGAACACACACAATATTGTCAATATTTATTTACACTCAGTAACTCACACATTACATCTGAATCCTTATGAAGTGTTATTAGTTCTCTGTTGTGACTCTTCTTCCACTTTATCTTTCACAACGTCATCAAAATTTATTTTAAATTCCCTTTTTTTTATCAAATATGACTGATTGTTTAAGACTTATGATCAAATGCTACAGTTACACAAGACAAGGTAGTTTAATGTTTTTTTAGGGATCATTTGGGTCATCTTTCATCACAACCAGCAAAAAAACGAGGTGTTTTTAGTCAGACAGGGCATCATCTTGTTCAGACATTTTTGTTGTGTTTACCTACCCTCTATTTGTACTAATTGTTTTTTCTTTAAGAAATGCTTGTTTTTGTTTTTATTACCATACAGCCCACTGTAATGTTTCTCCTCACAAGTTGTAGAAGAGACAATAAAAGGTGTCAAATAACAATTAGGTTGTTATGCAAATGACTGATCGAGTATGTTATTGAACCGTCCTACTCATATTCCAATGTTGTTCAGTTACAGAGTCAGTTACAACAGATGAGTGGATTGTACAAGAACTTTGTAGAGAAGCAACAGAACTCTCCTCCACCTTGGCTCACACCACCCATCTCAGCAGCATTGGGTGAGTGATCAAATCATGATCTTAGTATAGCCAGAATATGCAATCCTTATTTCAATCACATTGGCCTAAATAAGCTGTAGTTTCTAATATTGGTAGATTATAGATGTAACATAGAGGAAGGAATTTTTGTGGTATACCTAAACGGGAAAGAGACCAGTCTTGCATGAGAAAAACAAAACTTTACACTATCCACCAAAATTAGAATATCACGTTGAAGTTGTATCAATTTCACTGTTTCAATTGAACCAATCAACTCTATGTCCAACTCAAACCTTACTTGGATGAAAATAGTGTCAATGACAGTGCAATAATCTAATTATGTATAGTGTAATGTTTTGTGTTTTGTACCAAGTTAAATCTTTCTCATTCATGTACACTTTCTATGGGTAAATTATGCTGTTATAGGGTTGAGTCTAACAAATTTAATATGGTACAGTACATTTTTACAAGGACAAAATATACTTTTGTCCACATTTTAAACACTTTTCGTTGTATTAGGTTAGTTTATTATGACTTATTATTTGTTTATTATGAATGGCTGCAGTCGGCTTCTACAAACTCTTTTAAAATGTTTATTTCCATTTCAAAGCCTGGTTTACGCTTATCGCTGATTTCAATGTGTGGACAGGTCCGTATTGCCAGTACATTGCGTCTGCAGGCCAATGGCAGCAGCAGCAGTTGTTGGTTCACTCCTTGAACCAGTGTTGCCAACTGATTTGGCACCAACAGCATGAATTGGCAGCACTGAAAGAGACCCTTGCGCAGGTATCTTACTTTATCGTATCAACTCATTTCTTTCAATCTTATAAGTTTTTGAGCACCAACTTCTTCTGTTATCATTAATAACTTAGTGTAATGTAATTAAAATGAAGAGTGCTAACTTTTTCTTTTAGTTCTATTGCTTTAAAATCAGTTTTGGCTCTTGTTTATTTATTATTTTATGTATACCGAATGAATAACAAGTATAACTATTCCAGATTTTGATCCAGCATGTCATTTTATGCTCAGAAAAACATTAACTGCCCCATTTAAAAATTTTGTTTCCATTCCACTATTGAATATTTTAAACAATTTATCTATCAGTACAGCTCACTACCCAACTGAGACAATGTGTAGAAATAGTTTTTCCAATCACAAAGAGTCAATCTGTTTTACGTTGGCTGTTTTGTTTCATAGTTGCTTCCATCCTGATATACTTTTGTCTTAAACAGTTTATTATTGAGTTGGTGGCACATTCGGTATCGTAACTTTGAAACCAAGGCAGTGATGTTGAGGGTTAACGTCCACTTTCAATCTACCAGTATTGTTAATTTCTAGATTGTATTGGTACTAAGACTGACTTGCTCCTTGCTTTGCTTGATAAGTTCTATGAGCTTCATGATTCCAGGTTAAAAGGCTGCCAACTTTTCAAGAAATTAAAAAACGTACAGTAGAACCCCTCATATCCGACCATGATAGGACCGGGCCATGGTCGGAACGGCCAAAAGGTCGGATATCTCGAGGAGCATAACCTGCAGTCTCTGCTACTTCGGTAATTGTCTCCCGCGACCATGGCAACCACCATGAGTATAACTAGTAGTCATTGCGATTTCGGTAAACGTCTCCCATGACCACAAAAACACCCATGAGCATAACCTGCAGTCTCCGCAATTTCGCTAATTGTTTCCTGCGATGCGACCGTAGCACCAACCATGAGCATAACTTGCAGCTTCCAGTCCCCACAACTTCGGTAATCATCTCCCGCAACAACGGCAAAACCTGTTATCAGCGACAGTGATAATTGTCTGCAGTGATTACGGCAACATCTGCAATCAGCGTTTAGGTCAACCGATCGCGCTCGTCGTTATCGCCCCAGACGGGAAACAAGTAGATGGTCGGGCATTGGGTTGGATATGGGGGTTCTACTGTTAGTGAAAAATACCATAAAGGTGTAACCTAGACTTTTCTATATAACTACATCCTAAATACTCACCATGTCCTTATCCCATTTCCAAACCAATCTTCTTCCTAGCTGAAGATATTTTGTTGGAACCAAATCATCAACAAAATTAAACATTTTTGTCTTATTCTGATTTGTTTAAAGAGCTAATTGCATTGTTACTCTGATCTTTGAATCCAGTTGTAGATTAATTATAAACACAAGTTTGTCATGACCTTTGCTGAAAAGTGCTATTTTTAGTTAATTTTGTTTCTTGTTATGCAGAAGATTATGTTTTGTTAATTGATATGTATTTATACAGTTTATTTTTGTGTTAATAAAGCACTTTTTTAATTTCATTTAATTTCATTTCATAAACACAAGTTTGTATATTTCAGTTGCACCACCAGAACCCAGAGGCAGCTCAGTTCTCCCCCCAACAAGTGGAAATTTCATCCCCTCCCTCCAACTTGGGTCGAGCGCACAACCAGAACCACAACCACAATCATGGGGCAGTCAAGCCATCCCTCGCGCCACCTGCCGTAGTGTCGAGCGCTCACTCCCTACCTAACCTAGTCTCTCCTCAGTCGCCCCCCTCCCCACCCCCTGTCAACAATCGTAACCTGTTAGCTTCTCCCACTGCGACAGTTCTGTCTCTCCCTCCCTCCCTCAACACAAACCCTGCCAACCCCAATATATACTTCAACCCCCATACCCAGTTTACAGACCCCAACTTTATCAACCTGTTTCCACCCTACGGAAACAATCTGAATTTTGAGTTTCCATCTCCAGTTAATTTTTTTCCTAACCCTCCGGAACAGTTTTTGCCGTTCCATCCGCAACCACAGCCTGCCACTACCCTGAATAACCAGGTTCCCCCAGGCAATAGGGCTAACAACTATTGGGACAATTTTAGAAGGTAATTTTTATCAACAGTTTTTTTTAAGTAAATATAATTTTGTAAAAAGGATTTTACTTGTGTTGAAGGTTTTGCAGCAGCAGTTAAAATCTCCAATTGCAGAATAGTGATAGTATTAAAGTTTTTATAGAATTAAGTTACCAATTTTGTAGCTAAATTAAAATTGTACATATTTTTCTTTATCTTTCATAATTTGTTCCTTGTAAATGACTAGTTTTTAAATGGCTAAACCTCTCATACTAGTATTACGTTTCTTGCCACTTTTCTTTTCTTATTTTTTAATCGGCTATTACCAAACTGGCCTCCAGTTTTCAGTTTCATCCTCCATTTACATATTATATTTTCCTCCCATTCAGTTTATCAGTCCTCTCACCTACCCTTCTCTTCCCCTGCTGGTTTAACATATGCACAAAAACACTGGAACTGAATCAAAGGTTGGTTAACTTTTAAATGGTTGGTTTGATTTGTGCATGTGTTCACCAGAGTTGCACTTCCACCAAGCTTGATTTAATAGCGTCACTAATTCAGTTTTGCAGTAAATAGTCATTAACTGAGAATTGGTCAGAAACTGTTAAAAAATAATCCAAACTTAATAAAACGTTCATTAACTGATTGCTTTTAACACATAGCAACTGAAAGAAATTTATGTTTAGCTTCAATCAAATTAGGTTGCATCAGTCTAGATCCAAAAAAAGTGTATGTTGCGAGTGTGCTGTATGACTAGGTGTTCTATGCACACTATGGTTTTAGATGTATAAAGTTTTAGAATGTGCTGGCTTAACATTTTGAAGCTATTATTTGTTGTTTGGATTCCTGCTCTTCTAGGAGGTTTAAAATGTGAAGTAGTGATGGTTTTTTTTTCTATTTTAATTTGATCTCACACTTTTACTAAATACATGTTTTAATCAACATAAATAGCAAATTATAATATGTAGAGATGTATGTGTGGGAACCAAAATTTATCGATACTCGATACCGATACCTTAAAAAATTGATTAGCTATTCTCGATACCTATAGCAGCAATGAAAAAATTTTACCAGCCAATTCAAATCCAAACCCTTCTAAACACATTAAATACAATTAGGCCTACTATATCAAATGTAAAGAAAGATCTTAAAAACAAATATGAAAAAGAAAATTGTATTAAAACCAAAGGTGTGCCAGCATACTATTTTCTATCAAGCCAAGCTTAAGGTAATATAGAGATCATCTCTTGTGGTTGTGGAAGACGTTATCTTTGTCTCCTCCAATCGCGGCTAAATTCTGATCATCTCCCACGGCTGTGTAGATATCATTATCTGGTGCGGTCATGGAAACCTCACTGTCATCATGCGGGATCGCAACTAAATTGGTAACTTTGCAGATGTGTTGTGTATTGACATCGACTTTTGATGATCGATATCAATGTCCAATCACTGGTGCTATTGTGAATCAACACAATCCTAATTATATGTATTTACCATGTAATTAAATTCACTCATAAATTTTATATTCTATACAATTATAATAAACGGTATCAGCATTCTGACACATACTTTCTCCCATAAGTTTGTCAACAACCTTTATCATGTGTAAGCGGATAGAGTAAATATACGGAAATGGGATTAGTACAATTTTGATCAGAATTTAAAGGAGGACATACTAAATTTTTATCAAAATCATTTGGCCCATTTTTGGTGAAAATCCGATTTTTGGGGTTTTTATGGGAAAATAACATAATTTACAATAACTTTTGAATCGTATTTTTTACAGAAATGGGATTTGTACCATTTTGTTCAGAATATAAAGGACTATAACATAACGGGGAAGTAGCTATTACCATTGACTATACACAGAACCAAAGCCTTTATGATAAACAAGTGTTTAATACCACTTTATTTTTGGTTTTAGCAGCAACAAAAGTACTCATTTGGCATAACCAAAATGTTATTTATGTTAGGAGTGGGTCTGAGTGTAAAGTTCCATTTGCTGTGAGCCTGTTTGTATGGCAACTAATTCAGTAAAACAACTGGAAATTTAAGGCAGATTATGCTGCAACGACAATATTGTTGAATGTTGACCATTCGTATGTTTGCAGCTACTCTCGCCAGAATCTTCTTAGCAACAGTGGTAAAAGCAATGACGGCCTGCAACAACAACAGCAGCAGCAGCAACAACAACAACCCCAACAACAACAACAATCACAACGCACACCCATGGAGAGGTTCCTCAACACAGATCATGAAGGGCTGCCTCCACCTCCTAGGTGAGGGACATTGTTGACTAGCGTTATACAAAATATTCATATCTTGTGATTCAACCTCAAAGTAACCTTGTTATGAAATAGTATGTATATTACCTATGGCTATTTAAAAAAAAAATTGCCTTTTCAATTCAGTTCTAAGAATTGAAAAGATTCGCTTAACTTAACAGTATTGTTTGCTTGCTTAACAGCATTGTTTTGTTACTTTACAGTACAAGTTTGGCCCAATGAGGTTCAAGGATTGAGAGAAAAGATGTAAAATTGTAAGGCCGACCACACCCTGCAACAGTCGAGGCGAGACATTTTGACTAAAGGCGTCTTGAACGACAAATAACACATGGGCGTTTACGGAGTACCATACACTGCAAGATGCGAGGCGGAAAGTCGCCTTTTGTAAAAAAAAGAAGCAGTCAAAAATTAGTTTCATCGAGATTCGCTACTGTCCCGGTTCTGAGCATGCGCAAGGTCACTTGACTTTCACCAATCTGGACTTGCTATATGTCTAGTGTCCACGCGGTGTGCGTGGCCTTGCCTCAGCATCTGCTGTGTGTGTCCGCTTTACGACAAGGCAAGTCGAGAAAACTGCCTCACGTCGCCTTGCCTCGCCTCAACTGCAGCAGTATGTGGCCAGCCTAATTATTTGAAACGGTTAAGGCCAATTTAATTGATTATACAATGAGTGAGTGGTTGGGACAATGAGTCATTGCATCACAATCAGTGGCAGTGAGAAGTTATAAACGAAAACATAACCTCTCTTAGACGTTATGAGTAGTGATTGTTAGTATTTTAAAAACGGTCGTAGGTAAAGTAGTGTATGCAACTCGCGTAATTAGCCTTTAAGACTATCTTTACGTGATCGTTGTGTAAACTACTATTTAAGAATAACCTTAAACAAAATTGAGGTAAATTCATTATATTGTATACGCCTATTAAAACCTGATGTTTCAGAAAATTAATTAAAATGAGTTCCCCAAATTTTCTAAGAATTTTTGGTCGAGCCAAATACCTCAATTTGTTTGTTACTTTCAAGCAAATTGGTCTTCATTTTATTTTGTTTAGTTGAAACAGCTTACTACAATTTATCAGCAATTAGATCCGGGTTACTAGACTTTTTAGTGTTAACGGTTTTTACATTTTTTCCATATTTTATGGCACAAAAATTCCTAACCAAGCTAAATGCACGCATTCTTTACCTTCCAAGTCAATAGTTTTTTTATTTTATTATTTATTTTGCACAGCTTACAAAGACAAAATCTGTTTCAAGTTTATTAGTTTTTGATTGATTGTTTACTGTTGTATGGTGTTTGTACAGGAGCAGGAAGGAGAGGCTGGTGCGGGGGGAGGTAAATCAGCTGATGACAAGAGCTCAGGTACACCAGGAGGAGGGGGAGGGGGAAGCTAGCGGCCACCAGTACAATTTGTCTCTTCCTTCACATGGTAGGTAGCATGCCAGTTCTCTACTTTGTTCTCGAACTATTTTATGTTTACCAAGTAGTTTGTAGTCATAGTCATTTGATTATATATTTCTGAAAACACAACAACACCTATAGTGAGACAGGAGGTATGTCTCTGGTGAACAACTGTGAGGCTACACGCGGTGCTAACAAACACAGTGTGACTTCAGTAACTGTACATATATCTGATTTACAGGCAGACAAGTGGTGTATTCTCCAAACAACAACACCTAAAGTGAGTCAGAAGGTATGCGTCTGGTGAACAACTGTGAGGCTAAACGCGGTGCAAACAAACACAGTGTGACTTCAGTAACTGTACATAAATAAATAAATAAATATTTCTTTATTGTCAGGTAACGTTTTGAATCATAGCATAGCTAAAAAACAGATGACATTTTCATGATTAAAAACTAACCTATACAATAATATGTCTTGTGCCCTAAAATACCTTTAAATAATTTGTTAAAATTTGCTGAACAATTAAAGTGAAACATGAATTTCTATGAATAGTAAGAGTAAAACAAAAAGAACTTTGTACAAAATAAAAGTCATATTGTTTCATTAGTTTCGTAAAGGTTCGTAAAGGTTGTTGGTCATATTTACACTGTAATATGTTTTACTTCTCAGAAAATCAGCAAGGCTGCTTTTAAAAGATTCATTATGATTTAGAGTTGTGGGTAGCTTATTAAAAAGCTTTTTTTCCCATATATTTAGGAGTTTTTTCTACAAGCTTCAAACAGTGTCTCTGGTATTGAAAATTATTCTTAAATTTGGTGTTATAAATGTGGTCAAAGTTTTCACAAATATAGTCATCAAAATTTGACTGCACCACTAACAATGTTTTGTAAATTATTAAATTTGGAATAGTCATAATATCCAATTTTCTAAAAACTGTTTTGCATGTTTTACATTGTAAAAAGGTCATAATTCTTATAATTTTCATTTGAATTTTAAACACTCTTTCAATTTTAGAGGAAAATCCCCAAAATATCATCCCATATTGTGCTATTCAGTAAAAGTATGCATAATATAGCATGATAGAAGTTTTTAAATCCATGGAATTTCTTAAGCACAATATTTGAAAACAAGCTGAATTTTATTTTCCAATACTGACTGAATGCACTTACTCCAGGTCAAATGTTTATCAATATACAGACCTAAAAATTTTACATTATTATCAGTTGGTTGGGATTGATCAATGATTGCAACTGATTGAGGTGTACAAAATCTTACAAATTTGGTTTTCTCTTCATTCATTTTCAAACCATTGTTCTCAAACCACTTCCTAATTCGGTTAGGCTTTCTTCAATTTTTTGTTTTAATTCATAATTGTTTTTTGTTTTTACTACTGCAGTAGTATCATCTGCATAGAGAATTAGATTATCTGAAACATTTTTTGGAAGGTCATTAATGTATATAATAAATAGAAGTGGCCCCAAAATCGAACCTTGAGGCACACACTTTTTAATTTTTGCCATTTTGATTTTGCTTTTATATTATCCTTACAAATGACTGTTCTCTGATGGTGATTATTTAGGTAAGATTTTAACCATGATACTGAATTACAGAAAAGGAATATAATTCTAGTTTTTTTATGAGTATATTGACACAGTCAAACGCCTTGGATAAGTCACAAAACACACCCATTGTGTTATGTGACCCATCCAAGGCCCATGACACATCCTCAACCAAGACTGAGAGTGCTTTCATGGTGCCTAGACCTTTCTAAACCCAAACTGCTTGTTAGAAAAAATATTGTGGGTTTCCAGAAATAAAAATATTTTATGAGAAGCACATTTTTCAAAAACTTTTGATAATGTTTGTAATAGTGAAACCAGACTATAATTGTCTGGATTTTGTCTCTCTCCATTTTTTAGAGGTTTTAGTTCAGCATATTTTAAGTTTTCAGGTGTGACGCAAAATTCTAGGGGGGGAATAAACTAGTATTTACCAAAGTCAGGCTAGGCCTACCCCTAGAACAGGCCACACTCAAATTTCTTCCCCGGAGTGCTCAGAAGGAGCCGAGAAAAATCCAGGGGTCGATACGAAGTTGTCACGGCTTTGACTAATCAATTTTTTTAAATTTAATCGAAGGCTCAGAGCTCTAGAAGCGCTCAGGAAATCCTGCAGACACTCAGTAGGAGCTATTTCATCCTCACCTTCGCTAAAGTGTTTTGGTAAATTTTGCGTAACTTTTGGATTAACTCTGTAGGACCGACAAGTATTCTATCTTAGCCAATTTGATAAAACTACTTGTATTGAACTTTAAACTGTTTGGCTAAAGACGTCTATAAATAATATAAAATAGAATATAATGTAAAAAGCAATTCCTACAGAGTCATCAGGGCCCAATCAATATAATTGAACGGAGAATTTAGCGTGATATGATTTAAAATAGATTTAATATTCGCAGCTGATTGTCAAATCAGCCTACTCCCAGACTTGATTCTTTCACCTGCCAAATACGGGGTTTAGAACTCAGATGACAAGTCTCGGGGAATTAAACGACAAATTAACTAAAATAAACGGGATCACATCATTTTCCGAGTTTTCAACTGTCCGAGTTTGTTAAAAATTACAAAATATTTGAAAAATAATTTGTCCAAGTTTTCAACTGTCCGAGTTTTGATAAATAACTAATAATAATCAGATAAATCAACTGTCCGAGTTTTCATTTGTCCGAGTTATTAAATTATTTAAAAAAATATCAAAATATCATTTGTCCGAGTTTTCAACTGTCCGAGTAGGGGCAACATCAAAATGTGACACTGCGCGCCGAGACTAGCGTGTCTAAAGCGCCAGTTCAGAAGTCGATGTGAACCCCTTCTGTGAAGGAGTCAGGCATCGTGCGAGCCGCGAGAGCCCCTCACGTCGAATTAAGAAAAATTATTTTATTTTTATATAAGACTAATTTTACAATTATTAATTATAAAATTAAACTCTCATTACCTAACACAACCAACCAAACTTGCTGATAATATAAAATACCCCCGCCATAATTATATTATCAGCAAGTTTGGTTGGTTGTGTTTGGTCATGACAGTTTAGTTTTATAATTAAAAATTGTAAAATTAGTCTTATAATAAAAATAATATAATTTTTCTTAAGTCGACGTGAGGGCCTCTCGCTGCTCGCACAATGCCTGACTCCTTCACAGAAGGGGTTCACATCGACTTCTGAACAGGCGCTTTAGACACGCTAGTCTCGGAGCGCATTGTCACATTTTGATGTTGCCCCTACTCGGACAGTTGAAAACTCGGACAAATGATATTTTGACATTTTTTTTATAATTTAAAAACTCGGACAAATGAAAACTCGGACAGTTGATTTAACGAAATATTATTATTATTTAAACCATACTCGGACAGTTGAAAACTCGGACAAATGATTTTTCAAATATTTTGTAATTTTTAACAAACTCGGACAGTTGAAAACTCGGACAAATGAACCTCACCCAAATAAACGTACATAATAATTATTTGTTAAGCGAAAGGATTAATCGTAATTTTGAAACTAATTAGATAAAATAAAACTGAATTATAGCCACCGCTAGTCAAGGTTCAGGCAGGAACTGGCAGGTCTAGACTCAAGTAGGTAAAATCTAAGCTATTAAATTTAGATTTGTCTAATTGAATTCTGAAACGAAATTGAACGGAACGAAAATAAAGTAAATCGTAGAAATGGCCTAACTATAAGAATAGCTAACCTTCGTAATATCGGCAATCGACGTATGGAATACGATGAACGTAGAGTGTAAGGTAACGGCGTTGTTAACTGGTCGAAAGCGTGCGAACGAATATTCCTGTCTGAGTAAAATCCTTAAGTACTACTAGAACAGCTGATCGCGAATTCACTTGTTGAGCTGGTCTAGTTTTTGTCTGTCGTCTGTCAACAAACAAACACCAGTTTGGGGTAATGTCGTCGTCAGCGTTAAATATCTGTAAAATCGGCCGGTTTAACTTTATTTGGTGGTATAAATATGTAGTTATGGGTGTGTATATGTACTTCACTGTGATTAAAAATAGGCCTACGTTCTTTGACCCACAGCCCAAGCTATGTCCAACACATAGGCCTAGGAGTAGGCTATTGTGGATAAAATTCGGGTAAGTTCTGGTGTTCATTTATTCGCAGTACGTTTTTACCCCCCCTTAAAATTTGGTACCTTACACAGGAAAAATACTATTGAGGAATGATTGGTTTATAATGATAGAGAGTGGTTCTGCAATGAATTTAGAAGCATTTTTGACCAAATTTAGTGGTATTTCGTCCCAGCCTGATGACTTCTTATTCTTGAAAGAAAGATTTAATAATTTTAATAACATCCTTCACGTCTATAAATTGAAAGTCAAATTTTGTGGTCTGCTTTTGATCTATTGATTTTATAGTCAGTTGTACTGCCTCACTTTCAGAAGAGGAAAATCCAACAACACCTATAGTGAGTCAGAAGCTATGCGTCTAGTAAACAACTGTGAGGCTACACGCAATGCAAACAAACACAGTGTGACTTCAGTAACTGTACATATATCTGATTTACAGGCAGACAAGTTTTGTATTCTCCACACAACAACACCTATAGTGAGTCAGAAGCTATGCGTCTGGTGAACAACTGTGAGGCTCTACGCGGTGCAAACACAGTGTGACTTCAGTAACTGTACATATATCTGATTTACAGGCAGACAAGTTTTGTATTCTCCACACAACAACACCTATAGTGAGTCAGAAGCTATGCGTCTGGTGAACAACTGTGAGGCTCTACGCGGTGCAAACACAGTGTGACTTCAGTAACTGTACATATATCTGATTTACAGGCAGACAAGTTTTGTATTCTCCACACAACAACACCTATAGTGAGTCAGAAGCTATGCGTCTGGTGAACAACTGTGAGGCTAAACGCGGTGCAAACAAACACAGTGTGACTTCAGTAACTGTACATATATCTGATTTACAGGCAGACAAGTGGTGTATTCTCCACACAACAACACCTATAGTGAGTCAGAAGCTATGCGTCTGGTGAACAACTGTGAGGCTCTACGCGGTGCAAACAAACACAGTGTGAATTCAGTAACTGTACATATATCTGATTTACAGGCAGACAAGTTTTGTATTCTCCACACAACAACACATATAGTGAGTCAGAAGGTATGCGTCTGGTGAACGACTGTGAGGCTCCACGTGGTGCAAACAAACACAAGCGCAACTACATCGACATCCCGGCCAGGGAGGCCAAAATCAGCCAGCTGAACAACTATCATACTGAACCCAGCGAGGTATGACAATTTAAAGCCTACACTTAGATGTGAATTTTGATCAATTCACTTGTAGTTATGCCTACCAAAACATAAATACACATAAGAAACTGATATTATTGTAGCTAATTTGTGGGTAGGCTGCTACAATTTAGTTTAAGTATAGGCCTAATAAAGTCATTATATAGCTGGCTAGCTAAATGGTATGTTCTTGCATAGTAATGAGAAAGCTTTATCTTAAGAAAAATCTGTTTGTAGAAATTTATGGTTTGTAACTAAGCCCAGCTGTCCTTGTTCATTGGGCTTGTAATAAAATGATCTTCTAAATACTATACAATCCGATGTGTAACTGACTGGGGATACAAATTCTAGACCACTTCTAGATGAGCTAGAGACTTGAAATTTTCGGTGGTTGTAGGTCTAGTGCCCAAACCACCCATAAAATTCCAAAAAGTCGCATTTTCAAATTTTAACCCCCCCGAAAATTCGAATTCCCCCCCCATGTTATTCTTATGGGGAATAACATTAAAAATGGCCGACTTTCGTGTTCCCATCTGAACCACTTAGAAACGTGCTAGAGACTTCAAATTTGCGTAGTATTGTAGTAAAAGATCTTACATTACCGGTGGAATATGCAAAAGTCCCATTTTCAAATTTTAACCCACCCAAAAATCCAAAACGGCGGACCTCTGAAAACGAAAAAACACTTTTTTTTCAACCGGATGTAGCTCGAAAACGGTAAGAGCTAGAAAAGATTTGACAGTATATCCAGGAACAGGAATTAAATTTTCTACAAAACCCTCTTAGGCGTTTTCAGAAAATCGCACTCCTTAAGCTTCAAAAAACGCCCTACTTTCAAAATTTTGTAAATTTTTTTCAAATTTTTATCGGTTTTTGCTATGTTTTCGTACCTAAATAATTATTTTTTGCAAATATTATTAATGTTTCGTATTCTCCTTAGTTTACTTTACATTTCACCCTTTACATGTATTTTCGTAACTTTACTCCTTGACCCCCAAAAACTTAATTTTAATGTGAAAATTTGATTGGTTTTTACCGGTTTTACCAGCCCCATGTTATCCTTATGGAGAATAGCTATGTAATTTTAATACTTTGGTATGCTCATCTGATTAGTTTAGAAACGTTCTAAATGGGATCATCCGTTAATGGTGGAATTTGCAAAAATGCCTTTTAAAAATTTTAACCCCCAAAAAAATCCAAAATGGTAGACGTATAAAAACGAAAAAACACGGTTTTTAATACCGACTATAACTAAAAAACGGTAATAGCTAGCAAAAATTTGAAAGAATCTTCATGAACAGGAATTAAATTTCCTACAAGACACTATTACGCGTTTTTAGAAAATCACACTCCTTCACCTAAAAAAAAAGCCCCACTTTCAAATTTTGGTAAATTTTCTTCAAATTTTTAACGGTTTTTGATAATTTTTCGTACATAAAAAATTTTTTCTTCAAATATTATTAATGTTTCGTACTCTCCTTAGTTTACTTTACATTTCACCCTTCACATGTTTTTTCGTAACTTTACTCCTTGACCCCCAAAACGCGTAGGTCAGTAACGCTGTATAGTCATTTGGTTCTCGCTCTAATTTTTGCTAATGGATTTGGCTACCCATGATTAAGTTTCACTGTCACTTCTTCCTATTTATTGGACTTGTTATTTTGGCGATTTTGCTGCAATTTTCTGTAAGCATGGAATTCTCTTGCGTTGCTGCTGGGTCGTTCCACCAGGGAGATCCCAGATTTACCGAGAGCAACAACGCTCAATGCATGGCAAATGCAACCTGTGCCCTCGCATGGCAAGCATTCTGCGGCGGATTCAGTACCAACGCTATTGACGCTATACTCATGGCGGGCGATAGCTTGTATACACTATCTCGCCGTGAGCATAGCATCACTAACCGGTATCTGTTCCCCGAGGACCTCGCCAGGCACTTCGTGGTTGCACACCATCGTGTTACCATCGAAGAAATTTCTTGTGTTTGGGACGGGTTGTATCCGTTACGAAACGATGGCCTAGATGAGGTGACCTCTTCCTTGTCTTCGGTTTTGGAAGCAGCTATGCCCGGTGACTCCGTTGATAGCGGTTTTTTGTTTACGGGACAGTTGGTGACAGTCGCTTTTTGGCGTTTCCAAGGGCGGCTGTACCTCTTTGATTCCCACGCGGTAAACGAAAACCGTCGTCGAGACATTGATGAGGCGAGAAATAAGGCTAGGGTGTTCGTCTGTAATAGTTTTCGTTCTCTAGCTTCCCTCATTTTGGTGAATTCTGCGTTCGTCGGTGGGCAGTACTCCGTCACAAAAATAAAGTTTTCCGTCAACGAAACTCAAACTGTCCACACGGTCGACTGTTCGGACAATGACTTAACTCAGTTATCAGAATCTGCCTCTGAGACAGTTGTTCAGAAAACCAAATGTCCTGGTAGACCAAAAACAATAAAGCGTGGTCGTCCAAAGCTTTTAGACACGACCCGAGAAGAGCAAGTGGATGCGGCGAAGAAGAAGTATAGGGAGACGCACGCTGACAAACTCCGGGATGACAGTCAACGTTACACTCAAACCCACCCTGAGGTGCACCGAAAGGCTGTTCAGCAATACGACCTGCGTAATCCCGGTGCTTCTGCTGAGAGAGTTCAGATTTTTCGCCTGAAAAATCCAAAAATGTCTGAACTTCGCTATATGCCCGCATCACTTGCTCGGTCCGTAGTCAAAAATGGCCCCATGTCTGTTTGGAATGGGGAGCCACTCAATGAAATACAACCATACAAATTAAAAAAAGTCAGTCTCTGGGTTGACGACGTTTACAGATGTCGTCATTGCCAAGCACGGCTCTTCGAGGAGGAGAAGAATAGAAAGCAATGGTGCTGCGGGGAAGGAGCGTTCAATGTTCTCGACATTCCTCCGTTGCAAGAACGCTTTTATTCCGACCGTCTCTTCCTGGAAAGAGCCCGTGCGTACAACGACCTGTTTGCTTTCTGCGCGCTCGAAGTGTCAGGCGGGTATCGTCATCCCAGTGGTCTTTCTTTTTTCAAGATCGAGGGAAGAATGTACCACCAGGTCTACAATCTGGACGCCCCAGGACAAAAGTTCACCACTCGTTCTGGGAACGTTCAGTTTGTGAATCGGTCCCGCCTGTATATTGACGATGGCGAAGAGCGCCGTAACATTGCGATGGGTAGATCGCTTGATGCCGAGATCATCGACGGTATTGCTGATTTCCTGTCTAGGGAAAATCCTTACATTGAGCATTACCGTCGATTGAGCAACGAGCCTTCCGTAACAGCTCACTTGGCTTTTGAAGTAACAAGCAGGTCTACCCATGGCCCTGTTCTCGGTAATCGGCAAACAGGCGTCGAAGTGCACGCCGTGCTCAGCAATGATGAAAACGACACTGAGCCCCGGAGACTGACTATATGGAAATCCGGTTCCGATAGACCTACATTTATTGATCTTTTACACCCCCTAATGGAACCTTTCCAATATCCCCTACTTTACCCGCAAGGCACTGTGGGATGGCACGTTGGCCGCCTTGATAACAAGGGTGCCAAACTGACTCAATTTAAGTACTCGCGGTGCCTCCTACTTTCTGAACCTCGCTTCTCTCACCTAGGCCGTCTCTCACAAGCTTGGCAGGTTGAGATGTTCGCGAGGTACGAGGAGGAGAAACTGCGTTACATTAAGTTTACGCAGCTGAAGAACACCGATAGTGCCTTGCGGGTGGGGCCGGTTGACGAGATTCGGAATGCACAGCAGGTCTTGAACGACATCGCTCGTGATGAAACCGTCCAAGGCGAGGGTGGGGTGCAGGCAGGAAAAGTCTACCTCCCAAGTTCGTTCACCGGGGGGCCCAGGTACATGAAAGTAAAATACGAAGACGCTATGGCAATCGTATCGCGCCTGGGTTCCCCCACTTTCTTTTTGACGTTTACTTACAACGCGACTTGGGAGGAAAACAAGAAAGCTTGCCCTCGTGGAGGTACTCGCAGTGACCCTAGCACTGCTTGCAGAGTTTTTAGGATCAAACTTCTGGAACTTCTCCGAGACCTGCGCAGCGGAGCAATGTTTGGACGCTCTGTCTATATCGTCTACGTCATCGAGATGCAAATGAGGGGCCTTCCTCACGCCCACATTGTATTCAAGATTGACGGCGACGGACCAGTTCAGGCGTCCGAAATTGACTCCATCATCCGCGCGGATATTCCCTCGGAAGAAGAGGCCGGAGGCCGACTGAGAAAGTTGGTCCTCAAACACATGATCCACGGTCCATGTGGTAATGATCATAGGACTGACTTTCTCTGTTGGGACTCTGCAAAGGGTTACTGCACCAAATACTTCCCCAAGCCCTGCTGTGAAACCACCCACGTCGACGAGAGGGGATTCGTCCAGTACAAGCGAGATTATACCAATCGGGGGACAATTGTATCACGCAATAAGAACATTATCGTACATGACGGTTGGGTTGTGCCTTATAATCCCGCACTGATGTTGAAATACGAGGCTCACATCAATTTGGAGCTGGCGTCTACTCGCCGCGTGATTAAGTACCTCTTCAAATATCTTATGAAGGGAGGATCTCTCCAGAACGTCACAGTTACTCCCTTCAGTAAGCAAGATGATGAGGTACAGCATTACGTGACGAAGAGAATGGTGGGTGCCAGTGACGCGTGCTGGCGTTTATTAAACTTTCCAGTATCAGAATCTGAGCCGGCTGTTGAATGTCTTCCCGTCCATCTGGAGGGCAAGCAGTCCGTCCTGTTTAGACCTGGCCAACTGGCAGAGGCAGCCGCTAGGAACAGCTCCAAACTCACCATCTACTTTGACCGGCCTCGTATTTCACTGTTTGACGACCTGACTTATCAGGGGTTCTATGAATCGTTTGTGGTTCATGTCAAGCGCCCAAAAACTGCGGAGATATACGAGCACCCCGATGGCGTCCATTTTATCACTGCCCGACAGCGTGGCGAGAAGGTGTGCAGACTGTTTTGGGTCTCACCGAGCAGGACAGAACAGTATTACCTGCGTATCCTGCTTATGACTGTATCTTGCCGTGGTTATGCCGACCTCCTGTCCCGCGGTGGACCAAACTGCCGCACTTTTCAAGGGGTCGCGCGGCATCTTGGCTTGGTGCAAGACGAACAGGAGTACCACTACGCACTGCGCGAGGCCGCCACTTTCATGACTGGCCCGAGACTTCGTTCTTTCTTTGTGATCCTCTGCAACATGGGGGCTCCTGCAGCTCTCCTGTGGGATGCTTTCCGTGATTCCATCTGCGAGGACCACATAGAGCGTAATCCTCTCGATGTTGAACTGGCCTACAAGCTAGGTCTCATCGATATTGATCGGAGTCTTCGTCGGCAGGGTTCTTGCGTCGCAGATCATGGCCTCCCCGATGTACACGATGACACGACGGAGTTGGGCAGAGAACTGCTCTTACATGGTGAAAATCAACAGAGAGTGTTTGTGGAGGAGTGGGTGCCAAAGCTCTCTGAAGATCAAAACCGCGTATTTGAGTACGTTACCTCCGTTCTCAATGCCCCTGCCAGCGGAACGTCGTCGAAAATCATTTTTCTTGACGGCCCGGGAGGCTATGGGAAGACCACTCTGATTCGTGTCATTCTCGCATACGTGAGAGGTTGTCGTCAGGTTGCACTGGCAGTCGCTAGCTCTGGGATCGCCGCGGGTAACATGCCTGGTGGAACTACAGCTCACAGCATGTTCCGGTTGCCACTCGACTTCGGTGACGGCACCGGCTTTTGGAACATCACCAACGGCTCCCAGCGAGCAGAGCTCATCAGGGCCGCAAGGCTCATTGTCTTTGATGAGGCCCCGATGGCACATCGGTTCGTTTTCGAGGTTCTTGACAGATCCCTGCGAGACCTCATGCGTTCCAGTGAGCTATTCGGTGGTAAAATATTCCTCTGTTGTGGCGACTTTCGCCAGATCGCGCCTGTCGTTGTAAACGCTCGTACTCCAACTGACATTGTTTGTGTCTCACTTCGGGCTTCCCATCTGTGGCAGCATTTCAAAATTTTTGCCCTGACAACAGCTCATCGGACTAGTAGTTCCACAGCCTATTCCGAATTCCTTCTTAGGGTAGGCAACGGAACTGTCAGTTCGACCACTTTCTTGGAGGGACGGAACGAACAAAGTCTAATTCCGCTGCTCGGGATTAGACAAGTGACGTCTTTGACTGATTTGGTCGATTCCGTCTTTCCCGCAAACGTCCTACTCGACTCTGATATGTGTTCGCGACGCGCAATCCTCTCGACTCTGATAGTGAACGTCAAGGAGATCAACGACCACATCTTGAACTCCCTCGACGGTCATCTGTACGAGCTGAGGAGCGCCGACACAGTCGACAGAGAGAACGACGATGGCCTGGATGTCGACGTTCAACTCCTGAACACGGCTACTGGCAAGGGCGTACCAGACCATGTTCTGCGGCTGAAGATCGGTTCTGTTTGCCTCATTATGAGGAACCTCAACATCGCTGAAGGACTCGTCAACGGCACTAAAGTCATCGTAATCGGCATCACCAACCGCCTGATTACAGTGAGACTTCCCGGACAGACGCAACCTATCGGAATTCCCCGGATTACCTTTACTTTTGCGTTTGTCGAGGGTTCGCCGTTACGTGTTCGTCGACGTCAGTTCCCACTGATGTTGGCCTATTGCATGACCGGACACAAGAGCCAAGGTCAGACAATAGATTCAGTCGGTGTTGATTTACGGACCGATTGCTTCACGCACGGGCAACTATACGTCTTGCTCAGTAGGGTCAGACATCCAGACCATATTGTTGTTCTCGTACACCCCGAACGTGTCCGAGATGGAATCGCATACGCAAAGAACATCGTGTATGGCGATCTCCTTCTCTAAACCTGATTTGACATTAGCAGTAGGCTAGGGGATCTGCTTAATCAAAACTCCCCGTTGTGACTTGACAACATCGGCAGTACGATAGGGGGCCTGCCTTATCAAAAGTCCCCGTTGTTGTATAAAGTAGTTAGTAAAGTTTACTAACTTGTACATTTGTAAATAATTGTAAATATGGTTCCGACGTTTCCTGGCCTCCCCGTGGCGGAACTGGATATGCCATAAATTGTATGGCTAACCGACAGGGAAACAAACATTACTTGATCTATTTTCATAAATATATACATGAATATCTACTATAATCTATTTAATTCATATGATACATTACTATTATCAACTTATTCACTTATCAATCGACATACTAATCAATCTACTCATCTTATACAACAGTTCTCTAATTTGTACATTTGTAAGTAATTGTAAATATGGTTCCAACGTTTCCTGGCCTCCTCGTGGCGGAACTGGATATGCCATACAGTTTGTGGCTAACTGACAGGGAAACAAACATTACTTAATCTATTTTCATAAATATATACGTCATGAATATCTACTATAATCTATTTTCTATTTACATCATATATACATGAATATCTAATATAATCTATTCACATCATATAATACTTTACTATTATCAACTTATTAACCTATCAATGAACATCAATATAAATTTACTTATCTTGTACAAAAGTTTACTAACTTGTACATATTCAAATAATTGCAATTATGGTTCCGACGTTTCCTGGCCTCCTCGTGGCGGAACTGGATATGCCATAAAGTTTATGGCTAACCGACAGGGAAACAAACCTTACTTAATCTATTTTCGTAATTATATACTTGAATATCTACTATAATCTATTTACTTCATATAATACTTTACTATTATCAACTTATTAACTTATCAATCTCCTCTAATAAATTCATGAAATCGTTATTACTTTAATGTCGATTTTTACTATAACGAACCCTTCTCTCCTCATATTATTACTTCCTTTGACCAAAAACTCAATTGTAAAAATACTTGACTAACATACTCACTTACCGCAACTTAAAAAATGATTTTTTTATGAGGTGTTCCTTAAGCTAGAAGTTATCTTACTCAAAGTTAACTTATATAACTTAATATTGACGGTTTCACTTCTTGCTTTGTTACAACTTAACTCTAATCTACTAATGACGACTAACAGCTAGGGGGCCTGGGGGCGGAGCCCCCAGCGAGCCAAAGGCGAGTCCTTGCTATACAAGTCGCTGACATTTCAGTAACACAACTGCACAGAGCATTCGCCCCATTATACACTCACCTTGCATTCATCCGAAAATATGTATACAAAGTTGACACTGTAGTGAAGTAATACAGTGGATTCTTTCGCTTGCAATGGTTATAGACACATTTTGTAAACAATGTTTGAGAAATAGCCATATTAAACAGTTTTAAATTTAAGATTTAGCCAAATATTTACATGAGAACCAATAATTTTTTCAATAGAGCAACACGGAAGCTGACAGTTCTCGGGCAATCAACCTGCCGAGGAGGCATCCTCGCAACATAAACAGCATCAGTGACAACAGCAGCAACAACAGCAACAATCTGCACCAACAACAGAACTGCATCGGGGACGGTTACTGTCTCATGGCCTCAGACAAGGGTGTCAGGCGCAAGGACAACCGAGGCAACCTCTCCAAGGACTGTAAGACTGATGCTAGGTGGGTGTTACAAGTCTTAAGCTTACATTATATTACACTGTATATGTACTATGAGTTTACGTACAAAGTATAATTTGAGAATTGCTCAACAAATTCTGAAACTGGAGGTGTTTAGATATCTTAAGATTTGGTACCGGTATGATTTTTACTGGACAAGGATCTTTTTATCTTATCAATGACTATTTAAACCCAACCTGGAAGGTTGGGAGAAATCTTTCATTTCATTAGTTTAATTAGTTTTTGACCTCTTTCCACTGTATCTATTGAAACCTGAAATGCTTGAGCTCATAATAAAACTAACTTTTGAAATGTCACTGAGACAGTGGTAGATGATGCAGTTGGACAATTGAGGTAGACCACAATTGAAACTTTGTTGTATTTTGTATGCACTAAAACCATGACCACACTTAACAAAGTACAGGACAGTAAACAGAGTAGAGATAAATTAATTTTCAGGCATTCAATCAAACGATCAAATCAAATTTCATTGCCCTAATTGTATTGAGTAACATTTTTCCTGTTAAGTTCTGCAAACAAATATTATCAGTTAAATAGTTTTAGTTTAATGTTTTCATGATAATGAGAGCTAAAACACATATTTGATCAATTGCACTGTAGGCTACAAAAGTCCTTTAATCATCATCAAAGGCTCGTCAAACATTCTTGTACTCTCTTTCAACCTTACCTTAATATAAAATTTCTTCGTTACCAAACAAAATCAATGCACTGTAATTATATTTGACAAGACTGTAACTTTGCCTACAGTGGTAGTGGGGACACTTTGGAGGAGTGTGTATACTCTGAGGTCGCAGCTCTGATATCAGTGAATGAGTGGAGACCACAATACCTACTGCAGCTGTTCAAGGACCTACGACTGCTCAGCTCATGTCCAGACCCTGGCATGCAGGCCACTCTGTCTTCTACAATACACGCCTTGGCATCTCGTTCCTCTCAGGTAAACATAGGCTGGTAAGCCCTGACAAGTAGCAACTGGGCTAAATTTGTAAGGGTATTGCAGTAGAACACATTTTTCAAACCCCTCTTTACTTCTACTGAAAATGTTTGCACTTTGTTGAAGAATTATCTGAATAGCTTAACACAAAACTGTTCTACCGTTTCATTTGACTTTTTTTATTGGGGTTCCGTAAGAACCATCTTAGTCAAGAGGTGCAGGGCACATCGAGGGCAAGGAGGAAATTGTTATTGTATTTTAAGTACAGTGCACTACTACACTGTCACACATTTGTACTTTAGTTCCAGCTTTAGTTCCTTATTTGTACTTTAGTTTTTGAGCTATTTTCTCAATATTTGAGATGGTTTTCCTTGTATGTCAATTGTATTTAAGTTTCTGGTACTGTATCAAGTCGTAAGTTTAAAGTATTTAAATCCCTGTATGTGACTTTTACCTTTTCTCTGCAGGAGGAGCGTAGAGCAGGAGTAGGTGTGGTGAGTGAAGAGTCGGTCAGTACTCAGACAGTGGCAGCTCCTGACTATCTCGCCAGCTTCTCTCATCAACCTCAAACACGTAACTGGACACAGAAAGAAACTATTCCCCCTCCCCCACCTCCACCACCGCCACAACTACCATCTGTGAGTAGTATACGTTTATAGGTCTACAACTAAAGGGAAATTCATTGACATGTGGTCATTAGAAAAAAATATTTTACACTATAAAATAATAAGATTTTCTAAAATTGTGCACATACCGTACAGAAGGTGTTCTATACAAAAATGTATTTTTTCAACTTGAAGTCTTTTCAAGGCTAATTAAATTCTTCCATGTGGGCAGTTTTTAATTTCTCTATCAACATTACTGTAAGGATGCGTCAGTTTCATATGTTTTTTTTTTTACAAAATGTGACACTTTGACTAAACTCACTAATATTGTCAACTTCTATCCAAGTCTGACACCATTTATTGAAATGGACCCTCCCACTGGCTAAACCAAATATTTTTAAGCTTAAATTAATATGGGTTACACATGTGTGTGTGTGAATCTGCACATGTAGATTTAAGAGGCATCATCACCTTTGCTCTGTTTGCGATTTGGGGGGGGGATGACTTGGTGGTAGATGAGGGTGAGCGGGGAGCGGTGCGGGGTCAGTATTCATGCCGTTCTAAAAACATCGTTATTTTAGCCGTCACCGCACGCGCACTGCCACGAGTCCGCGCAGTACCATCGCCCTGTCCTGCCTAGCGTCGGTCTTAGAATACTCTACTGTACATGTTCAAGATATATATTTGGCGGCCTCCTTAAACGGCTTAAACATGAAGAGAGTTTATATATTATAAATGGTAGTGATAAATTACTTTTAAGTGCATTACTAATTTCATTGATATCATTCCATTTAATAAAAGTTTATATTCTCTGTTCTTTTATTCTTATAAAATAAAATAAAATAGTAAACAAATTTATTCCAATGGAACAAAATACAGTACAGTACCACACCAGGATATTTTAACCCTTACCGCGCTACAGAAATGTTGGATGGCCTAGACCATAAGGCTACATATACCAAAAAAATATTTTTTCCCAAAAGTCAAAGCTAATTTTTTTTTTTGGTTTCTTATAATAAAAAGGATTTATGGGAGAAAAAAAGTCATTTTCTTTTAAAATTAGTTTAATTATACGTAATTACGTAATTAGTATACAGATACAAAAAGGAAAGCAAAAAAATGGAAAGCAAATAAAAGATTGACAGTTTTGTTTTTTTTGTTAAATTTACTGTAGAAAAAAGAAGCTTTCAAAATTAGCTATGTTCTTAAGGGATGGTATGGTATGTTTTGAAACATGCATCAGGGTGCAAGTTTGGCCGAGCGGTGCATGTCTCGCAGACGTAAATCGTCTCCTTCCGCAGGCCGTTCTGTGTGCAAACAACGCATCTGCCAGTCCCTTTTTCTCTCCTCGCGATGAAATGCTGTCTTCCATCCAATCTTTCATCAGGAGGTCCCTAAAAAATTTATATGTCTATATATATATATATATATATATATATATATTATATATATATATTAGTGATCACTGAGCCCTACCATATATGTAGTTGTAGCTGTTGAGTAAGCAGATGTGTAAGGCTATCTGTCCTACATATAAATAAATAAATAAATAAATATATATATATATATATGTATGTGTGTATAGGTATGCGTGTGTACATGTGTGTGTGTGTGTGCGCGCGCGCGTATGTATGTATGTACGAATATATATTTCTTCAACTCAACACAAAGTGTTCCTATGCAAATGTACCAACTACTCACACATTTACATTATGAATAAAACCAATTATCATTTTATTATTTTTATCACAAAACAAACCGACTCAAGTTGTGTAAAGATAACAAAATAATTCAGGAAATTACATTTGTGCCAAAAATCAGTTTTTACGACAAAGAAAAAATATGCATATAAAGGGATTACAGTTTTTACGGTGTATTGATGTATTGTAATTGCAAGCCTTATCAAATAAATAGGAAATGAGTCGAATAATATTTGTTAGAAAATAATAAAAAAGTTTACTTACTTGTACTGGTCGTCCCCTCTTTCTGCTGGCTTTTGGTCTTGTTGTGCTTCTCTCTTGCACCAAGCTGCGGACCAAACTTTTCCTAAACATGAAGTGGCTCATGGCTTTTCTGTTTCCAGCGGCCGATTGTACATCTTTGTACAGTAAATACGAGTTGATTATTGCCACTTCCAAAAACCAAAAAAACATCTTTCGATACCACTTTTTTGTCCTCCGCATGAACTGGTAGGACGATACGAAGTGGTCACTTCTATCAACCCCGCCCATGTGCTTGATGTAGTCGATGACAACATCAGGTTTCAAAACCGGGGGTCTGTTTGGCCATCTACTATTCACATAGGACATGTGGCTGCTGCTTCCCTTGTGTTTAGTACTAAGCATGTGTACCGGTCTTTTATCCTTCCAGGAAACAACAACCGTGGATTTCTTACGGTACGCACGAATGTCCCCTTTTTTCATTTTTTCCCCTTAGCTTTCATACCAGGGGGCAAACCAGTTCTGTTCGGCATCACTGTACCGGTTAGGTAGCACCCAATTTTCAGAAGTTCATCAGCAAGCTCGGGGCTTGTGTAATACCTGTCAGTGTAAACGTGTACTCCCTTAGCTGGGCAATGCGGATCTTTGAACACCACCGACTCGCTCAACACTTTGACAATTTGCGTTGTCTTTAGTAAGTTGGTTCCAGGAATCAGATCCTCACTACCAAAATACGGAATGAAGTCGTAAATATAACCGTTCGTACTGTCAGATACAACAAACAACTTCATACCAAATTTCACTGGTTTATTCGGGTTGTACACACGAAAGTAAACCTTTCCTTTGAAGGAGATGGTACTTTCATCAATTGCAATTTTGTCACCAGGAGTAAAAAAGAGTCTACACATTTTCTTCATATGTTCCAAAATGGGAGCGATGAGGAAACCTCTGGGAACAGGTTCGTCATTGTTCCGGTGAGTAAAATGTAAATTCCAAAAAATTCTTTCAAACTCGTTTTTTGAGAAAATGTCACTGAAAAATGGCATGTTTGATTCCCTAGTTGTTGAAAAGTAGTTGGTAATATTTGGAAGAGGCATCAGTCCCATGTTGATGATCACACCTAAAAATGCCTTGAAATCGATTGGTGTGATATCCTGCCATTTAGTGATACGAGCCTTAGGAGAAGGACCACTGGCTAGTTTGTTATTGGCGAACAAATTTGTTTCAGAGCAAATAAGATCAATAATCATATCATTGAAAAAAAGAGAGAAATAGTCAATGGGCTCAGAGTAGGAATCGAATGTTGAAGGTAGAACAGGACCTTTATTTACATTGTAAATTGGAAGCGTCTCACTAGGTCCTGGGTCATTGACTGAAACATTAGCCCAATGAATAGGCTGGGGGCCTGCTGGGTTTAGGGCTTGCGCTGGCTGAATGCGATTTGATCCCCGTCCACCCCGTCCACGACCACGTCGTCGGGTAGGTCTACCTTGATTACGTAGTGGCTGAGCGGTAGTTGTAGGACGCGGGGGAGTGACAGGCGAGGGGGGTTGCGCGGGGTGGGTGACAGGTGTTGGGAGCGGCGCTGTAGACGTGACAGGTGGCGACAGAGGCGCGGCGACTGAGTCTGGTTGTGGTGGTATGGCGACCGGGTCAAAGCGTAACACGTCGAGAGGATCTGGTCGTGTTTGAGATGGAGATGGTTGTGTCAGTGAAGCTGATGTACTTGGCTGGGGATCTTCATGGGCTGGGAGTGGTAAAACGTCCATGGAATCAAGGCACATATCAGTCTCATTTTCACTTTCACTCGCATCGGCAATATTATTGATCAAAATGTCGTCCTGGTCCATGTCACTGTCAAAAAGGTGATCATTGTAATTACTACTGAACGAAGTATTCAGAACGTTGACTACAAAGTCCTCAAAATCTGGGTCATCGGGATGTTCCATTTCACACAAATAATTACTCCAATCACACAAAGATACAACTTACACACTACAATCCACTTTTACTAATTATATAAAACGCACAACTCACAAAAAATATGGTATAATTACTGTATAAAATGTATATATTGTATAAAATATATAATTATAATAATATACCGCCAATAAAACCAATGTAATAACGAACGCACGCGGAGAACGGTGTTTCGCGCCAAGTCTGCGAGTGAACTAAACACTTGCGAGTTAGTTCGTCCACAGCGCTAGCGTCTCTCACAGCAGAGGCCGGCTGGTGTAGCGCGCCGCCATTTTTTCATTCCCGAGAACAATCGGAGGGCGGGGACCATTGTTATTGTGATTTTACATCACGTGAGATGTGTCCCAACAACTGCTGCACTCTATCGGCAAAACTGGGTACTACCAAGACCAGCCAATGCACTCTGTATTATAAGGCGAGTATAGTCGTCCATAGCGTTTTGAGCAAAGACAATTTCGGCGAGTATATTCGTCTACAGCGCGGTAAGGGTTAAGGAGTTAACAATATAGCCACCATTTCGTTACTGAAAATATTTCTGTTAATTTTTTGCAGAGTTACAACACACACACACAATGATGGTAACAAACAATATTTCAATGTTTTATATGCTATATGTATGTAATGCAAAAACTCTCTTTGTCATGACAATAATTATAATAATACCTTTATCTAGGTAGAAAATTACAATACAGCAGATAATAATAATATACAAATTCAAAATGGCAAGTAAATTAATTTATGTACAGGTATTGAATTATATTCTAAGAAAAAATCAGTACAAAAGCATTTCACAATAATATGTATCCTAACGCATTTTATGGTAAGCTTGTATGAATACCAATGATGTATACAGGGTGTTTTTTTAAAAACTTGCATCTCTATTTATGTAAAAACCACAATAGATAGAAATATGCAGTTTGCGGGAATCATCTATTGACGTAGGGGGCCCAATTGTTTTGAATTCTACGTTACATTCACATTCCCCCCCTTTCCCCCACTGCCCCCAACTTATTTTTTTTAAATAGCAAGGTACCCCTTGTGACATATCAAATGAAAGAGCATGAAAAAAGAAAATGTTTGATGAAAGAAAATTGAAAATCGGTTCATAAATCT